CTGAGACGCACTCCAGATAGCAATAAAACACCTGCCGGCAGAGGTGTTGGGAGACTAGCGAGCTGTGGTAATTGGGTACAGGCTGGGTAACGAGAACATGGCTGGGTTAAGTGACTCAGAGGGACGGCTCAATTACGGGGGATACTGAGCACATTTTAAATGTCAAGTGGCCTTTCCTCTGTTTGGGGGAGGGGGTGGCAAAGGGAAGGGTCTGAAGTGGGTGGATTAATTTAGTGCAATGTCATAGGGGAGCCTTTTTGTTTCTCATGATGCCTATTGCCCTTAAATGTTGAAACTGGGTCTTTGTACGCAATGTTTGTGTATTTATGTGTATATCTGAGGTACAAAGTTTTACAATTACTGCCTTTTTCTGAGTAATTCCAGATGTACTTTAGTCTCTCTACTGTCAAAACTTTTATATTGTAAAACTGATGCTGGTGGGTTTTGGTTATTTTGTGTGGTTTTTGTTTTTGTTTTTTGTAAAAAAAGAAAAGAAAAAAACAAGTCTGCATCTCTATCCATTGTCAGTTTTAGGCTGTAAATTCCAACTATCAATAAAAACTCAAAATTCTCATTGAGAGCGGTGGATTTCTCAAGCCCCAGGCCCTATCTCTGCCCTCTCAACCTTCTCCCCTTGCACATTTTGCACCCAGACTTACCGGTAACCTCCCCAGTCCTGGCATCCGGTTTTTTGTTCGTGTAAACTGATGACTTTGGAAACTCTGAATCTGACCAAGGAAATGATGCAGAACAGAGAACGTTCAGGCAGTGGCACTATCCTTTGTATTGTGTTTTTATCCTAGGGGGTCTCCTGTGATGGGTTGGGGAGCTCTGTGATCAACTGACCTCGCTGGCTGTGAACAAATCAGCCGTGTTCCTAGTCTCAATACGTAAGACAGACAAACAATGGCTTGGTGCAGTGTTAAACGCTTGTTTCCTTTCCCCCCGTACCAGACACCTCAGAGAGACCCCTCGTTCTTATCAGAATAGGAATCAGGGTTTGCCTCCAGGCACCAGTCAGGGTCTGACTCATCTGCTTAGACAGTTTAGAAATCCCTGGAAGGCAGCAAGTGTACATAGATCAGCATGGAGGCTTCCAGGGCAGCACCACCTGCTGGGTCCTGTAGGAAATTGCAGTGGTTTGGTCGCGCACACACAAGGGCTTTCAACCTTTTTTCAGTTGTGGACCCCTTGGACAGGTTCCAGGTTGGGGTTTTTTAGTGTGTGTGGCATGAATGGCCTAGAGCAGGTAAAGGTGACGGGACTTGTTTTTAACACCTGCATAACCAGCCTCTGGAGAGTTGGTGGCAGCAGGCGCTTAATAGAATTTTTTTAAAGAATTAAGACACTCTTGGATGAGAGTTTACAATCACATTTTTATAACTACTCAGCCCCAGTGGTTGGATGACAAACTTCTCCTAGGACAGGGGGCTCAAGCTCCCCCTCCTCCTGCACCTACCTCCCAGCGCTTTCCTGCCACCAAACAGGTGTTTGGCGCTGCTTAGGATTTTCCAGGGGGTGGGGAGGGAGCAGGGCTGCAGCGCACTCAGGGGAGGAGCTGGGGATTTGTGGAAGGGGTTGGACTGGGGGGCGGGGAAGAGGCAGGGCCTCCTGGAAGGCTTCAGTGATGCAGCCCTTGTGGTGATTTGAGTTCCCTGTCCAAGGAGCGGGTGGTTCCTCACTATTCCATGGGCCGGGTTCGTGCACCGGCCACAGAATGCAATAGCCCAGCAACCCGGTACAGCGCTGCCTTTGGGGTGTTTGGCCTAATAGCTTGGAGTTCAGACCTGGAACCTATTACAGCAGGAGTGCTGCTCAGTGCTGATGGAACTGCCAAGCGCCAGCGCCATCAGCAGCAGCTGCCTCAGAGGTGATCTGTCCCCCTGCCTCCCACACTAGGTCTGATCTGCTCTAATGGAGATTGGTGTCATGGTTCTCCTAAAATGTGTAGAAGGCTGAACTGGTCTGTGAGCCACAGAACTGTCCAGACCCTTTTTGAGTTATGCCAAACTCAGGGGGTTGAGGTCTCCCTAGGGCAACGCACAACACGCGACAGGCCAGTCAAACATTTTGCAAAAGTCTCCGTGCATCTCTCTGCCACAGTGGTGGGGGTGAGGTGGTCATATTTTAACCACCAGCGTAAATATTTTTTTAATTAATCTGTAAATACTGACATGAGAATGGGCTCTCAATCTAGCAGAGAAAGATCTAACCCCATCCAATGGCTGGAAGCTGGATCTAAAGTGTTAATTTGTAACAGTGAGGTTAATTAACCATTGGAACAATGTACCAAGGGTCCTGGTGGATTCTCCAGCCCTGGCAATTCTAAAAATCAAGGTTCGATGTTTTTCTAAAAGATTTGTTCTAGGAATCATTGGTGGGCAGGTCTCTGGCCTGTGTGTTACACAGGGGGTCAGATGAGATGACCACAATTGTTCCTCCTGGCCTTGGAATCTATGAATCACATACAGGCCATGCCTGTTCTTCGCACACACTCCCCCATTGACAGCAGTGGGTGTTCTACGGGGAAGTAAAGTCCTAAATTAATACCTGGGCCCCTAGACCAGACTTAAAAATAAAATTCAGCTCTCTCGTGAACGAGTTTGGCATCTTTCTGCTGGGCACTCAGCAACCAAGCCTTTTGCCAAAGAGATTTAATCCAGAATTAGAGGGACCAGCAGCATGCTCTCTGGCATTGCTCTGATTTCATCTTAATGTACTTCTCAACTTTGCGGGGAGGTGGAGATGCAGGAAGGGGCCTTTCCCCACCTACAGAAGCAAGCATCCCATTTTGCATCTGGTTCCTTTACTGCCCTGAAGCAAAACCTCACATAGCTGGACTTGGGCCAAACCAAGTAGATCTGTGGTTGGCCTTTCCTTTTCCAGTTTCCTCATCATGGAAAAGTGACACAGGCACCAGGTTTGCCTGCCACCCAGTGCTCTATTCCTGCTTAATGAATTACTGAATCCAATACTTGGGGAATTAAATGCTTCCAGCCAGTTTAAATAAACCATGGCCGTGGGACTCCAATTCTGGAGAGCACACGCGCTGCTGAATGGAAGGAAATCTGTTAGAGTTCACACCTCCAGCCCACTGAAGTAGAGCATTACTTCTTTTGGATTTCAAAGTTAATTAGTCTTTAGTAGCTAGTTGTTTAAGAAAGCTGTTCACCCAGTTGAACATCTCCTTGGTAATCTAGACAGCACGCATGGGAGCATCTTGTACTAGAAATGGTCACTTTCCATCCTGAATATTCCTGTAACCTTAAAGATTTAGGCAAAAGTAGGCATCTGAGATTGAGAGCTCCAACCCAGAGCAATGAGGTTTCCTAAGAGCAATGTTATATTATGTTCAGCTTGTGTACAGACTGAAGCAGTTTCTTCAGGATGAGAAAACACCTGGAATAAAATCCACTTATTTGCCCTGAAACTCAAAAATCCACCATTCTCCCTCTTGGACTCAGAAGACCACCCTCCCATCATCTTAAAGGGAGGATCGTGATACCATATTGAGTGTATAGTCCACAAGCCATATGGATAGAAAGCCCAAGAGAGAAACACTTCTTTCCCTCAAGAAACCCATTAGCAGAAGGAAATGCAGCTGAGCCAAGAGGCTTTTGTAGCAGAAGGCTACAGAGCTAATCCAAAGAAGAATGGCTCCATCCTGGAGCTGGAGGAAAACCTCAATAGAGTACGCCAAGCTTTGCTCTAAGCACACAGGGTTCAGAGACCTGGATGGAAGAAACTGAGCAGTCCTGAGTCATTCTGGATTGAAATATTATGAACATGAATCTAACTGGGTGATAAGTTCTTGGGCATCCTCAGATGAATCTGGAGGACTACGCTGCCATGGTAACAGGTGATGCTATGGTCCAGCATCTGACCTCTTGGAGTTAGAACATCTCTAATGGGGTCAAATATCTCTAAATGCTTCCTTCAGCTTCTTCCTTTTAGGGATAGAGAACAAGCCTAGGCCTCCGGGGACTGAGCGATCTAGGTGATATTTAGACACCAGGGCCAGCTGCAAAGATTGCAGCTTTTGGGTGCTGACACCTCCACCCATTGAGGGGGAAGTACACACTATGGAGCCCCTCTACTGGTGCATCCATTGGCCAGAGAACCTGGCAACACCAAGAAATATCTCTTGGATCAGCACGATGAACACAGATCCTGGGTGGGAGACGTTTGCTGGCAGCTGAGGCAAAGTGAGGAATTTAGGGTGATACTGGTATGTACCTTTTACACCCGTTGTTCTGTATTGGATTGATGGTGGATACATGAAGACCCTTAACAGGCCTGTTCCTACCCACAGTTCTGGGGCTTGTGACTCAGGAGTGGGGCACATAGAAATGCAATGTCATGAGGGAGAGCACAGGAGAGGAGCAGGGTGATGCTCTGGTTACTGCTGGGACAGAGGGACGCTATTAAATGATGAATACAAACCTGCCCAGCAAGACAAGCAGCGAGCACTCTGCCCCCCTCTAGCCCTAACCACTGCAGGTGCACCAGCCTGTGACTCACGTGTGAACAACGGGGAATGCTGTGTGAGGGAATCGCTTCTGGAACCGAACCCAGCTCTGGGAAGCCCTGTGTGCCATACAGCCCAAGAGAATATGCATATTAATTTTTTATTAAATTCAGTTAGTTTTCTCTTTATATAACAACATTTTCCCTCTAGGCACAATACAATACAAGGACTCTGTATGTTTGACACAATGTACAGAAACTTCAATAATCTACAACTGCTCCGGGAAGTTACAAAAACCTCCCTGTTGCACCAGCTCCCTGCCACCGCCATGATCATACAGGAAAAGGAAGAGGGGACCCTGGGGGTTAAGACTGTACAAAGAGCTCTGCACTGAAATAAAACATTTGTACTCCTTTAAAAACAAGACAGGTAGAACGGTCAGCGGGAGAGGGCAGGTCCCAGGCCCAAGGGGCAATGGCAGGAAGGTGGTGAACTCTAACCGAGGGGGGGGGGTTGCTACCGGGGCCAGGAAAGGGTCTCGTGTGACCGGGCAGCCCCTGGGCCCCAAGGGACCACACACAGATGCCCGCTGGGTTTGGGGACGAGCACACGGCTCTAGCATGTGAGCTGCTGGGGGCTAAGCTTGCCAAGGTGCAAACCGGGGAGGATGAAGGGGATGTGTTTCTGTACCAGAGATGCCATCGCCTCAGTCTCATGATTCCACCTTTGCACTGACAATAAGTTACAGCAGTAAGCGGGCTGGGGAGGGCTCAGTGGAAGTCGTAGAGAGCGGGGGCTAAAGTACAAGCTTGTCCCTGGTACACAGATTGGGGGGGGGGGGGGTCAGGAGCTGAGCTCTGAACACCCCAGCACAATGGATCCATTGCGCTCTGGGGATCTCAAGGAGCTGAGGTCGGCCCCCACAGCACAATGGCAGTGAGGAGCCCCCTGCCTTCCCCATCAAGGCTGGGGCACGTCCCGGCTCAAAGTGGAGGCCTTGCTCTGCGGCTGGCGTACAGCGGCTGCCTGGAGACTTGCCGCTGCCTGCCTAGGGGCTGGGGCTGCAGTGATCCAAGCACAAGCTGGGGAGAGCTGACACGGAAAAGGCAGCAGCTCGGTGCTGTGATCTCCGAGCTCTGGCCACTTCACCCTCTGGGGCGGCGTGGCTGGTGAGCCCAACGCAAGGCTGGTAGGTGAGGGGCTCATGCCACACTGCTCCTGTACACAGGCCCCAGGACGGTCCCTGTAACTGGCCTTGTTATCCTGTTCTACAGCTCACCCCAGGGAACCTCTCAGAGCAAGAGCCGAGCCCAGCCCCACACAGCCCTTCCCCCCACTCACTGCAGGGAAAATGGGGGCTCCAAGGCTGTGCCAGACACAAGCCCCATAGCAATCCAACCTGCAGAGGGGGAGCGACGCTGCGTCGGGGGAACCTGCTCCCCACAGCCTGAGTGAGCACAGGTTTCCTGGGGTGGGGGGAGACGGTGGGACCAAGAATATAAGCAGGTCCCAGTCCTCAGTCTCCCCCCTCCCCCGCCAGGGGCAGACCAAAAGAGGAGCGGACTCTAAAGCTACAATACTGCTAATGAGAGACCACCCCATCCCACCAGAGCAGGACAGGGAGGAGGCCCCTCTTCCCCCCCCCGAGCGGCTCATCGGGGGGCACTACTCTTGTGCAGACACTGTGCCAGCAGAGACAGTGCCTGTCCCGGGGGAAGGGGGGATATGGCCCCGTTGCTGGACATGGGGTAGGCAGGATGGTCCCAGTCCTCTTGGCCTACTGTCCATGGAGCTCTCCTCTGGCCTTGCTGGGCAGGCTAACCCTGAGCTCAGGCCCCCAGCCGTGCCGCTCAGAAGGGCTGGGCCAGAGCCGAGAGGGCCTGGGCCGAGTGCCCCAAGGGGCTGGCAGCAGGTCCACGTGGATTTACAGACTGGATGTGCAAGTTCACAGACAGCTCCTGGGGGTGCAGAGGGGTAACGGGGGAAAGCTCCTGCTGCTCCCCAATGGCGGCCGGGGTGGGGGTTCAATGCACAGCACCTCCTGGTGCTCTCCCAGCAAAGGGCCAGTAAAACCCCACGGCAGCATTCGCAAGAGAACCAGAGCACTGCTCAGACAAATGCCATGCCCAGCCAGGGACCCCAGGCCTGTGTCCTGCCAGGGGTGGGAGCCGCACTGCCCAGCCAGGGACCCCAGTCCCGTGTCCTGCTGGGGGTGGGAGCCAGGACCCGAGGCCCCGTGTCCTGCCGGAGGTGGGAGCTGCGCTGCCCAGCCAGGGACCCCAGGCCTGTGTCCTGGTGGGGGTGGGAGCCAGTAATTATGTGGCTCAGACAGGCTTAGTGGGGTTGTAAGAATGGATCCCCACTGCCCCTAGCCTGACAGTTCCTACCATAGTGTAACAGACTGATCCTGCCCTGACCCCTGCTTCTGTCCTGAGCACGCAGGGGGCCTGGGGCTTTCCAGTACGATGGGCCCCTGGCAGTGGGGGAGAGTAAGGCCTCCGGCCTCCTCCTCCTCAATCAGTCAGGCCTGGGCCAGCTCAGGTGCTAACCCTGGGCATTGCCTCTGCTTCATGCGCCGGGGCCCGGGGGACTCCGTGCCTGGAACGGGGGCTGCTGCTGAGCCAGGCTCACGCGTCCGACAAGCAGCTCTGGATGCGGTCGATCCACTGCTGGGCCAGCTGCACGTCCTGGGCACAGAAATTGTAAACTCGTTTTGTCGTCTTCAGCTGCAGGGAGAAAAGGCAAGAGCTGAGGCAGGGCGTCCGCCGGGGGCGCCGGGCACAGCTCGCGATGGGCCCCGGGTCCCCACCTGGGCAGATGGGCAGGCAGGACTGGCTGGGGGCCGGCGCCTTCCTGGAGACACAACTTGGCTCCAGCCGAAGGTGGCGAGTGCCTGGCAGAGTCTGTACCACTGGGGTCCTCTGCAGAGACCACAGCGCAACTCAGGAGCCCGAGCCCCGGCCTTGCTGCCCAATGCAGAGCTGGTGCTCAGGTGCCTTGGTCCAGCCCCAGCCAGTATCACCCCCGGCCCACCCCCTGGCACGGAGATCCAGCTTCTCTGGGGCTGGGGACTCACGTCGAAGAAGGCCTTCTCCTCCACTGTCTTGGGGGCCCCCATGGTGGGGGTGCCGGGGGTGATGGACTCCACTTCTGCCAGGTCAATGACCCCTTTGCACTCTGTGTCCATCCGGTTGTCATAGTACCGCAGCTGCAAGGAAAGGTACCGCACGTCAGCCAGTGCCTGCCGCACCCCGGCGCCCCCGAGTCCCGAGCTCACGTCAACACCGGGCCGGCTGAGCTAGTCCCCTTGTCCAGCCCCTCCAGTACCTGATGTTTGGTTTTATCCAGCACGAACCAGCGGGGCTTCCAGGGCTTCATGAAGGCTCCTTTCTTGTAGAGCGTCCCCTCGTACGACCTGCGGGCAGCCAGAGAGCGGGTTAGTGCCTCGCTGCCGCGCACCGGGGGGCGAGAGCCCAGTGGGGATGGACCAAAGAGCTCAGCTCCCAGCAGCCAGAGACTGAACCAGCTGAGCTGCAGAGGGCTGGCCCCATGGGACCCACACCCCGTCCCAAGCAATAGGGCCCATTGCTGACCACAGGGCCCACGCGGCCTGGCCTGGCCGTCTCCCCCCGGGCAGCCAGAGCTCCCTTCACCTGTTCTCGCTCTCTGACATCTGGAACTGGCTGTAGAGGTTGCTGGTGCTCTTGCGGCCCCCCTGCTTCCCGCTGGACGGGGTGGAGGTGCTGCTGGTGTCACTGTCCAGGCTGAGGTTGAGGGTGGAGCCCACGCTGCTCTCCTGCAGGTAGACCCCCAGCGAGCGCCGGTGGGGCAACAGGCTGGAGGACATCAGCAGGGAACTGGATGCCATCTGCAGAGCACAGAGCAGGGAAGTGAGGGCACGGGCCCCGCCCACTGGTTCCTTCTCATCATCACACGAGACCCATTGAGCCTGGGCACAGGGCACTGTCAGCCCCTCCCCGGCCACACCGGCAGCTGGGGGCAGAGCCAGGAGCCCTGGGCCAAGTGCCGGAGCAGGCTCCCGGCTCCTCCCAGCCCAGCCCCTGGCTCACAGACCTACCCTGCTGGCCTCCTGCCGGGCCTCTGTGCGTTGGGAGGCTTTGACCTTGTCCCACGTGTCCTTCCAGCGCTCCGGCACCTGGCCCAGCTCCGCCTCCAGGTTGTGCAGCTCCTGCGGGAGGAGTCAGAGGTTATTCCGAAGAGGGGGAAAGACACCCCTCCCCCGCCCTGAGATGGGCCCGGCCCCAGGAATTCAGGAGCTGCAATCACAGACCCTGCGCACAGACGATCCCTGCCAGGCGTGATCAGCGTGTGAGTGCCAGACTCAGTGCAGACGGGAGCGCCGGGGGGCTCAGCAAGGGGCCTGCTGGGGGAGCAGTGGCTGATCCAGCCCAGGGGTGTGGATTTCTGCTTGGCACACCCACCCTTTGAATAGGTCGTGCAGATCTGGTCACCCCAGCTCAGAAAAGATTTATTAGAATTGGAAAAGGTGCAGAGACAGCAACAAAAATGGTGAGGGGGCTGGAACAGCTCCCACGTGAGGAGAGAGTAACAGGACGGGAACTGTTCAACTTAGAAAAAGGATGACGAAGGGGGGGGGGGATACGATAGAGGTCTATAAAATTACGAAGGATGTGGAGAAAGTGAACCAGGAAGTGTTATTTACCCCTTCATGTAACACACAAACCAGGGGTCACCCATGACATTAATTGGCAGCAGGTTTAAAACAAACAGAAGGAAGTATTTCTTCACACAACCCACAGTCAGCCTGTGGAACTTGTTGCCCGGGGATGTTGTGAAGGCCAGAAGTATAACTGGGTTCAAAAAAAGATTGAGATCAGTTCCTGGAGGACAGGTCCATCAATGGCGATTAGCCAAGCTGGTCAGGGACGCAACCCCATGCTTTGGGTGTCTCTAAACTTCTGACTGCCAGAAGCTGGGATTGGATAGCAGGGGATGGATCACTCGATAAATTGCCCTGTTCTGTTCATTCCCTCTGAAGACAGGGCACGGCTAGATGGACCATTGGTCTGACCCAGTCTGGGCGTTATGTTCTCGTTTGGGGAGGCCCCTCCCCCGCGTCCCACACACCTCCAGCAGCTTGGAGATGGCGTCGGGCTCCACTCGGCTGCGGTTGTCGTAGCACGGCCAGATGATTTTGCGCTTGGTCTGCGGGGCACTGGAGTCCTGCCGATCCTCCACCTCCACGTGCTCTGGCTGCCCCTGCACCAGCTCCCAGTCGTAGGAGGGGCCCTCGGACAGGACCTCCTGGGTGTAGTAGTCCCACACCTTCAGGTTGGAGATGTTACTGTAGGGCCTCAGCACCTAAAGAATAGGCCGGGAAGTGCTCAAGCAGGGCCTTGCAGCCCCCCCGCAATGCCTGGCCCCAGTGCCACAATGGCCAGAAAGGCGGTGAACTGTGCTGCCGGGCTGGGGATCCAGCAGCAGGAGGGGGGTCCCCAAGGGCAAGTCATCCCCCATGTGGTTCTGCCGAACCCTGGTGAGCTGGGACAGACTCTGGCTCCAGGCCAGCATGTTAGCCATCTGCTCCCCGTGCTGCAGCATCCACCCCCGCCAAAGATCGCATTGCGGTGCATGGGCCAGAGGCAGAACGGGCCCCTCTGTACTTTGCCCAGTGGTACGCAGTGCCCAGAGCACAGCTGTAATGGCAGCCTCTTACAGTGTCCTTGGGTAAGGGGCACCCAGTGAGCAGGTGACTGACTTCCTGCGTGTCCCACCAAGTGAAAACCAGGCCCTACAGTGAGAACAATGAGGCACTTTGCAGCTGTGCACGCAGGGCAGGGCCAGTGAGCAAGCACAAGTGCTTTCTGGCCATCGCACTGGTGTAAGAATCAGGCCTTTGGCAGAGGATGAGACGTGAGAAGTGGAGCCCTTCCCTCAGAAAACACTGGTTAGACTGAGTCCAATCATTCCACTGGAAGGTGTCGATTCTGTCCAAACTCTGGAGGGAAACTAAGCCAGCAGGCTGGCCAGGCCAGGCTTCCACCAGCAGGAGTGAACAAAAACATTCCATTTTGGTTCATAGATTCCGACATCTCCTGATTTTAGAGGGCTTGACTCCACTCCTAGCACTCAGGGGTGGTCATACAGCTGTCCCCAGCCCCGCAGCAGGGCAATCCTGCAACTCCAGCTGGTTAAACCCGCTGACTTTGCTGCTTCCCTAGTCCCCTCGCCACATGGCCCCAGGAGGGTTTGCTGTTCACTCAGGAGGCAGCACTGCAGCTGGGATCCCCGGTCTCTGTGCTTGAGAGGAAGGGCACTGCTATCTCCTCCATTTCAGGCTGATTGGGGCCTCCCTCGGAAAGGCGAGGTTTGGGCCTCTGTCCTGTGTCACTCCCAGAGCTGGGCTGCCTCGCTCCCTCCAGGGCTGGCTCCAGGCACCAGCGAAAGAAGCTGGTGTTTGGGGCGGCCAATGGAAAGGGGCGGCACGTCCGGGTCTTTGGCGGCAAGTCCCTCAGTCCCTCTGGGAGCGAAGGACCCGCCGCTGAATTGCCGCCAAAAAATGAAAGTGGCGCGGTGGAGCTGCCACCGAAGTGCCGCCAATCGCGGCTTTACCTTATTTCCCCCCCCCGCTTCGTCGCTTGGGGCAGCAAAAAAGCTGGAGCCGGCCCTGGCTCCCTGCAAGCAGTGGGGTGGAGGGAGGTCTCCCTGGATCGTGCACTGGGCTGTGGAGGCAGAGGCTGCGTCCGGCCCGGCGTCTCCGGCCAGCCGAGCAGGCTCACCTCACCATCCTCGGGGGCGTACATGTAGTTGAAGAAGACAGGGGTTTTCTTGTTCAGCCGGTCGATGTAATCCCAGATGGACTTGTAGACCTGCTGGCTCTTCCGCTCGCCCTTCTCTTCATACAGGAGGCCTGTGGGGGGAGAGAAAGACAGGCCGCTCAGCTGACAGCGCTGCCCATCGGTGACGGGGCCGGGGGCCCAGAGCCCTTACCCAGCTCGATCCGCTCGTAGTCCGAGTCCAGCAGGAAGGTGCGGAACCGATTGGAGACGTAGTGGTAGCTGAGGAACTTCAGATAGTACTGGGTGAACTCAAACTCCATGGGGAACTGGAGGTGGATCTGCAGAGAGACGAGCACATAGCCAAATGGACACCAGCCTCCACCCAGCAGATCACTGGATCTGCAGCTCCATGCAAGGGGTGGGCTGGCTCTACACCTGGATTCCACTGGCCGAGACGAGGCCCAGGACGCAGGTTAACCCTGCGCTGAAGTCTGACAGCCCAGGCTGCTCCGAGCTCACCTGATGGACACAGTCCAGGAACTGCAGGAAGACAGGAGCGAAGCCGCTGCTCTGACCAGCAAGGGTCTGGGCTCCGCGGTGGCTGAAGCGGTGCCCGAAGGACAGCCACTCCTTCTCGACGAGGAGCCGGAAGCCCTCCATCGTCCGGTAGTAGGGGTCTGACAGCAGCTGCACCAGGGACACCACCTGCAGGAGGGAGGAGGCCAGAGTCACGGCCCACAAGGGGCTGGGACCTCAAGCCAGCAGCTGGGAGAGGCCAGCCGTGCCAGCCAGTTGCTGCAGGGCTCTGACTCCTACCTGCGTGGTGATATCCCAGCCATCTTCCAAACTGACCAGCACAGAGGAACCTGTATCCAGCAGCTCCACCACCAGCACCGAGATCTGCAGGATCTTGTGGATCTGCGGACACAGCACAAGAGGTTAACAAGACATCTATTGGGGGGCGGGTTTCGGTGCTGGCCCCGAGCAGGGGACAACAGGGGAACAGCCTTTCCCAGAAGGCTGGTTAGCTTAGAAGGCCAGAGCTTCTGAAGTAGATATGGGGACAGTCCAGACCCTAACGTCGCACACAACAGCCAAGTGTCTGCCAGGCTCAGACCTGCCAATCCCCTGGACCCGAGGAGACTGCAGGGCAGGAACGGGGCTGCGATGGGAACAGAGCTGTGTGTGAATGAAACTCACGCCACACCCCTCCACTCAAAGAGAGCAGCCCTCGGCAACACTCCCCTGCTCAACCTACCGAGGAGCAACATGAGGGCCATCAAGGGCACAGACTAGAACCCCTCTCCCCCAGGTAGATGAGCAGGCGCTGACTGGCGCCGGACATCCAGAGCATGGGGGGAGAGGGAATGGCTCCACTCAGACACACGAGTCCCTGCCGATACCAGACTCACCAAGAATCTGGGCTGGCCTCGGGCAGACAGCACTTGTTTCAGGGCCCAGGCGATTGGGCCGCGCGGTCCCTACTACCAAGAGGAGAGTCAGACACAAGATCTGAGGCCGTGTGTCTGCCTAGAGGCCCAGAGCGGGGACAGTGCCTAGCCTCTGTCCAGTCCCAGCACGCACAGGGCACATGGCAGTCAGCACAGCGGCCCAGAGAGCATCTAGCAGTGGGAGCTTGACCAGCTCTGGGGCACAGGCCTCTGGAGTCAGCCAATCCCAGCAGCTTTGCTCTTGGGAGAGCTCCCACCACCAGGTCCCTTCCTGGACTGGAGGGTGTGTTCCTAGCCAGCCTGGAGTTGGCAGGAATCCCATACTCGCCAGCACGGGGGTGCATCCACTGACTAGAAGGGACCACTGGATCATCTACTTGGAGCTCCCGTATAGCCCAGGGGGTTAAATCTCATCCAGCTACCCCTGTGTATTGACTCCAAGAGCCTGTGTTTGGGGAAAGCTCCTTCCAGAGACATCCAGTCTGGACCTGAGGACACCAACGGATGGAGAACCCAGCACTTCCCGCAGTAGCCCTCACTCACTGTTCAAAATGGTGCCTTATTTCTACTTGGAAGCTGTCTGGTTCCCATAGCTTCTTGTTCTGCCTTTCCCACTAGATCAAAGACCCAGTTAGAACCTGGCATCTTCTCCCCGAAGGGTCTAATCAGCATAATCATTTCACCGCTTGTTCTTTTCTGACAAGCTGAACAGATTGAGCTCCGTATGTCTCTCACTGTCAGGTGTTTTTTCCAGCCCTGCAATCATTTTTGTGGCTCTTCTCTGCACCCTCTGCAATTTTCCAGCAACCGTTTTAAACTGTGGACCCCAGAACTAGACCTAGTATCCCAGGAGCGGTCTCATCAGGGCCATGTACAGAAGTCAAATCACCTCCCTGCTCTGAGTCACTGCTCCCAGCGTCGCACTGGGAGTTCACGTTGCATTCCTTGTCCACTAGGACCCCAGCTCCTTCCCAGAAGCCAGGCCTGCATTCCTTGTTCCTAGCTGTGGGACTCTGCCCTTAGCTGTATTTAAACACATTTTGAACGGGCCCAGCTTACCAAGCGATCCAGATCGCCCTGTAAGATGGCCCTCTCCTCATTGTGACATAGCACTCTACCGCTCGGTGTCACCCACCAATTTCACCAGATCCCTGGGGAGATGTTGAATAGCATCGGCTTAGGACTGATCCCTGCCAGGCTGCACTGGAAATGCCACATTCCATGACAGTTCCCACTGACAGCCCTGAGGTGGCGCCGAGCACACTCTCTCTGGTGCTCACCTGCTCAGGATCTAACCGATGGCCGTCCGTGGGCTTGGGAAGGAATGTTCCCCCATGTCAGACTGGCAGAGACCTTGGGGGTTTCCCTCCCCTGCAGCCTAGGATGTGGGTCACTTGCCAGGATCATCGGGGGGGGGGGGGGTATCTCAGATAATTCCCCGCCATTGTGGGGGCCTCAGGCAGTGGTGGGCCTTGGTCCCTCCTAGTCTCTGCCCGTGGCACACCATAGGCTAGTCTCCTGAAATACCTTGGTCGAATTTCGGCTGGCGGGTTTACCGTGCGGGTGCTGGTGTCCTGCAGGTCAGATGAGATGATTTGGTCCCTTCTGACCCTAAACCCTACGACGGACTCAAAGCTGGCATGATGCTTGAGTCCTGTCCCAGTGACCCAGCAACGAACCCCCACCCCTTGCCTTGGGGGTCCTGTGACACACACCAGCAACCGCCCTCAAGCACCAGCTCCCCTCACACTGTAGGATCCCAGGTGTGGAGGCAGGTCTGGCCCCGGGTCTGCACCATGGCCCCGGCGACAGCCCGTCTGACCCTGCCCAGCCCAAGACCCAGCACACTGACCTGGGACAGCCATTCGGACTCCTCCAGGGTCCGCAGGTAGGCGAGGCTGGGGTCTGTGGAGGGGCTGCCAGGCACGCAGGCCTTCATCAGCTTCTTGAAGCTGGCCTTCACCTGCCGCACGTCAAACACCTCGATGGGCACCACCTCCCAGTGCTGCAGCGGGTCTGGCTTCACTCCCTGGGCAGAGGGCGAGAGCGGCAGCCCAGGTGAGCACAGGCTGGGCAGCACCAGGCCCGTTCCCGCCTACCCGCCCCTTCCCTTCCCGGAGCCCCTCCTTTGCAGCGGGTTCCCCACGCCACTCCTGGGCTTTGCCTAGGAACAGCTGTAGCTGCACTGGTCGCTCTGGGGCACTGTGCAGGGGGAGCCTGGCTGCCAGGCTGTGAGCCCAGAGGGGGTCGGTCCCTGGAGTGGGCCCCCTTTCCCCACACCGGTCCTGGCTGCAGGGGAGATGCCTCCCATGAAGCTACCACTCCTCCCTGACAGTCCCCCCCATTCTCCCCAAGCCGCTCCACACACTGCTCCTGCTGCTGACGGCTCAGACAGCTCCCTGCCCCCCCGGGCCTGCCCCACATGCTGCCTGGTCGCTGGGCTGTTACCTTCAGCTGCGACTTGTCCCCAATGATGTAGAGAGAGGCCCGGTGCTGGCGCAGGAAGCTGGCCTCAGAGGGGGCCCCATTGTGCTGAGCGCTCAGCAGGTCCTTCCCAGCCAGGCGGGACCCGATTTCCATGTTCAAGACATAGTTGCTCATGCGCCCGCTGGCCCGGATGCTGCCCCACTTGCCTGCAAGGGAGGGGAGGGTCATTGCCACGGCCCGCTCAGCTGGCTCCCAGGCCACGTGGCCTCCGACCTGCCCTGTCACCTTCTGCCTTCTCCCGGACGTCCAGCTCTCCTCACTGAGCTGCTCCGGCCCCCAGCCCAGATTCCCGGTGCACTTGGGGGATCAGGTTTGCTTCTCACTCCCCCCACTCGCCAGCATGTGGATTGGGCAGCTGGGGCCCGCCGGGGTCAGAGGCTCTGGAGCCTTTGTCCTTCCTGCAGGCACTGCTGAGATGACCCCCTCTGGACAGACGCCCTGCCCAGCCCGCACTGGCTCAGCGAGCGGCACCAATCTGCCCGTGCACTGTGGGGCCCTTGGCGGCTGCTCCTTGTCCCTGTGCACTGCACCCCCCCTACCTTGGCCAGATAACCCCCCCTCCCCGGTATCCAAGCACTGGCAGATGTGTGAGGTGCCTAAAGCAAACCTGAGAGCCCGTTCCAGAATCAGTTGGGGGCTGCACTTACCTGCGGTGCCGGGAACTGCGCAAGGCAAGCCATTCAGTGACATGTTATCAGGCTGCAGGGAGCCATTAGCACGCAGCAGCTCATTAGCTCACTCTTGTGATTGGGTGGGAGGGTGTTACTGGGACGCGTGGGTTAGTTATGTGAAGGGGGTGTGGTGTTACATGGGGCAATCAGTCACATGACCAGGGTTAGCGCCCGGCGGGTTAGGCAGATGACGGTACAGTACCTCGGGGACTTTCACGGCCCTTCGCCGATACGCCCTTGGGGGTGGACAGAGTGACCACCCTAGCTCTGGGACCTAGCGCTGAGAAAGTACAGGACGAAAGGCGTCTCAGCAAGGGTGGCAGACCATGCGCTTCACCCCGAGCCGCACTCGCTGGGAGGGGTGGGAGGAGCGGTGCCCCGGGGCGAGATGGAGCGAGCGGCACAATGAATGGTATGAGTGAGGTGACCCCGGCTGGCTGTGCTCCCAGGTGATCCGAGTGCCAGACACTGGGCTCCCACCCCCAACAGCGAGGACAGGCCCATCTCCTCGTGGGGCTGCCCCATACGCTCTGCGAACCCTGGGGAAGCAAAGGTGAAGCATCTACTCTACGGCCAGCTGCCTTGGCGCGGCGGCCTCTTGGGCGAGGGCCCTGCGGGGCAGGGAGCTGTGCCCGGCGTTCCTCACCTCCTCGGCTAATAGTGCCTGGCCCATCGTCCTTCCCTCCCATCACCTGCTTCATGAGCGATCCCAGCTTGGGCTGCCTCTTGTCGGAAGAATCTGTAGCACCAACAAAACACCAGCTTTTGGCTTTGCTGTTTGTCCCCCCAGCATTTCCCCTGCCCCCCCGCAACACACCCTATGGGGGGAGGGGGAGAGAAAGCAAGCAGAGGCGGCAGTGCCCGGGGCTGGACTCCACAGCAAGGATGAGCCAGAGGCCAGAGCACAGGGCAAGGCCTCACAGCAGGGTCCCACGCGGCAAGGTCGCGGGTTCTGGTCACCTGCTGCCAGACACTCCACCGCACACGCTCTCCCTGACCCAGCTCTGTCCCAACCCCTCTCCCAAAGCAGATACACCCACCACTGTCGCTGGAGCCTCTCCCCACGCTGCTCCAGGCTAACTTCCGCCCACCCCCCCTCCACCAGGTGCGGGCCGGGAGCGGGGCTGGAGGGGCTCCCAGCTACAGCTGGCCCTACGGAGAGGCCTGCAGCCGCCTCTCTCATTCCAAGGCAGACTGGGAGCCAGGGTGGAGCCTGGCCAATGGCTCCCTCAGCTCACTGGTCCCATGCCATAGGCTGGGCCGCGCCGGGCGTGGGATGGTGCAGACAGACGATGAATGGGGATGGAGCTTGGCACAGGATGCTGGGTGCTGGGTCAGCCCTGCTCTCCCAGCAGCGGGAGGAGGGAGACAGAGGCAGGACAAGGAACAGGGGGCATGAGACTCACCTGAATGCGCTGCTCAAAGCCCCAGCCGCTGGGTGCTCTCGGCCCTGCCAGTCAGGCACAGTGCGGCCAGGAGGTGCTTGGACATCTCACTGCTCACAGAATCCATACCTACCATCCCCACCCGGCCCCCAGACCCCAGGGCGGGCCTGGCGCAGGGACTCAAGTCAGCCAGCACTTGTAAGAGAGCCCCAGGGCTTAGGGCCTTCTGAGACCTGCCCCACACTGACAGTGCCTGGGCTCCACAGCCGCATGGGGAAAGGAGGGTGCAGGAGCTGAGCCCACAGAGGTGCACTAAGGGGGCACTTTGGGGAGGGAAGAACCCGACCTCCCACTGCAACAGCACAGCCCTGCCCAGGCTCCCTGGCTGAGCTGGAAGGATCCCAAAGCCAGAGGCCTGTTGAAAACACCAGCCCAGGAAGTGGGCACGCCTGGCCTGCTCCCTCCTCTCCCCAGTGCGCTGTGGCCCCATGGCTGCGGTCTGACCCATGCCCCCTTACCCGCGCTGCTCATGTGCGCAGAGGTGAAGCCGCTGAGCGTATTGCGCCCGCTGGCGTCAGCGTAGTGCGGCATGGAGTTGATCACTGCCTGCAGGTACTTCTCCTGCTCCAGGCTGGTGGAGTCCGTTTGCGACTGGCCTGCAAAGAGAGCCGGGGCATCAGCAACACTCACTAGGCGCACACACAACCACCGCGCTGGGGGAGAAGCTATTGGCCAGGGCGCTGCTGGCACGTTGCTATGGGAGACGGAGCATTCCCCAGAGACACATGCAGCACCCCCTCGTCACAGAGAGGCAGGTACCTGCAGTAGGGGCGTTCTGCGACTTGAAGAGGCCCACAACACCCTTGCCGTGCAGCCCCCCCGATCTCAGCAGCACGGCCTTGGTGCGGGAGTTCCTCCAGCAGATGACAGGGAAGCGGTTCTGGCGGTAGCAGCGCGAGATCCTCTGGATGGTGTTGTCCTGGATGCTCTGCGGGACGATCAGCAGCCCCGGGTAACTGCAGGAGAGAGCACAGGCCATATGCCACCGTCATGCCACACTAGGGGAATGGCAAAGCAGGGAGGAAGGGGATGCCACAGCCGGGCTGCCCCCCAGAACTGCCTGTGGCCCATGCGCCAGGTACCCGCCTCCGGCAGATGCCCCCCCCCCCCCCCCCCCGGGGTCCCCCCCCCCGGCAGACGGCCCACATGTTAGATACCCACCTCCGGCAGACGGCTCCCCCCACACGGGGTACCCACCTCCGGCAGACGGCCCACATGGTAGATACCCACCTCCGGCAGATGCCCCCCACATGGGGTACCCACCTCCGGCAGATGGCGTACATGTTAGATACCCACCTCCGGCAGACGGCTCCCCCCACACGGGGTACCCACCTCCGGCAGACGGCGTACATGCGGTTCACCGTGGAGATGCGGAAGGGCTCGTTCTTGGAACGGGTGAGGCTATTACTCAGCGTGCCCAGCCCCATCCGTTGGTAGTCGCGGCAGCAGGCTCGCTCGACTAGGTGGCTCATCGTCATCTTGTCTGAAGGTTTGATGATGGTGGAGGGGGTCAGGGTGCTCCTGTCTATCTCTTCAGACACTGCACAGGCAGAGGGAAGAGGTGGGGTCAGGCAGGGGGAGAGGGAGACTGGAGCTCTGGGGCCAGGGCACCGTCTGATGCACCCCAGGCCTGGCCTTGCTGCAGCAGCGACAGAAGATGAGGGCGCAGCTGCCCCGTCCTGCAGTGCCAGTGTCATGGGCCACCCAGGAATGGGACAGATGCTGTGGGGACTGAACCCAGGAGTCTCTGGATTGAAAAGCATGAGCCTCTACTGGCTGAGCTAACTGCCCAGCCGGGGCTGAGCTCCCAGGCTGCAGCAGCTCTGTGGTTTGGCACCAGAGGGGGACAGAGCCAGGCTGCGTTCCTGCAAGTGACAGCAGGTGACCAAGCCAAGCCACCGCACGCTGCAGGGCAGACCCCAGCTCCTGGGCGCTCACAGGCTGAGACCCCACTGCTCACCCACGGCGCCTCACCCCCGCAAAGGCTTCCCACACAGGGGGCAGCCTGTTTGCTACGGAAGCTCCCAACCTGAGATCTCATCCTCGTCATCCTCCTGGAAGTGCTGACTGCTGCGCTGCTCCCAGGTAGGCGGCGTGTACTTCTTGCGGGTCACGTACGGTCGGCCAATGGTTTTCTTGGCATTCTTCATCAGGTTCTTGGAAAGCGTCCTGGAACAACAGCAGGGGACGTGAGGCCAACCTGGTACCAGCCCCAGGCCCGACACGTCACGGTGTGGCCACAGGGACCCTGCCCCTAGAGGGGGGCTCCACAGACCTCGCCCAGCCCAGTATGAGAGGGAGAGACCCCAACACTCAGTCAGACCATGAGCAAAGCAGAGGCAGGAGCATCCCTTGGTGCCACCCACAGACATACTTGCACTAACCCTGCCACTGAGGGGCCGGGGAAACAACCCTCCCCAGCTCCAGCAGACTGGGGACCACCAAGACGAGGCTCCCACCCGGGAGGATAGGACAGCCAGGCAGTTACCATGGGCCACGTCAGAGATGGGGGCTAAGAGACCAGCCAGCTCCTGCTAGGAACTTCCACTCCCCAGACCGCAGCAAGATGAAGGGGGCAACCCAGAGGTGCCTGGACCCCTTAGAATCCGACTGGGCAGGGAATCAGTCAGAGCTGAATGACACCAGCTGCCCCCAGCCTCAGGGCCTCATGGAGATCCTGGATCAGCTCTGACAGAAGCGTCAATGGGGGCAGAGGACTGGCTCTCTCAGGTGCTGGTCTGGCCCCGTCACCCTCGTATCTGAGCACCGACTAACTCTCTGCGCCCCCCATGAGGCTGGGCACCACTCTGGTCCCCACAGGCCAGATGAGGAGCCGAGGCAGATGGCCAGACTTGCCCAAACTCACACAGGATGTCTGGGGTGAAGCAGGGAATTGAACCTGGGTCTCCCGCGTCCTAGGCTAGCCCCCCAGCCCCTGGCCCATCCTTCCCCTCAGCATGGCGCTGGGCAGGACCAGTGCTGCTCTCTTCACAGCAGACATGGGGACGCTAGCTATAGACTGAGCTGTCAGAGACAGCACAGGTGCCAGTGGCTGCCAGTTCCCCAGAAGCAGCCCAGCACCCTCAGGGCCTGGGACGCAGGAAGCCGACGCTTCCCGCAGGCTAGCAGGGCTTTGGGAGGAGGGCACAGGACAGGCTCTGGGGGCTCTGAGCTGCAGACACGGAGAGGGTCCAAAGAAATGCCAGTGCTACACCTGCCTAACCCTACTGCTGTGGCCACCAACTCAGGCTGCGCCGGGGCTCGGAGACAAAGGAACACAACCGGCACCCAGCCCAGGGCATGGTGCGGATGGACAAACACTTCCAGGATTCACCCTCCAGAGCAGCTGCAAACAGAGGCAGGCACAGTCCCCTTGGGACCATATGGGGAGCTAAATCCTCCATCTAGCCCGTACGGCTGCAGTGGGGTTGGGCCCTAATCCAGCCTGTACCATAATGGTGGCGAGAGGCATCAAGTTTGCAGTCCAGCCTGTACCATGATGGCAAAGGTGGGATTAAACCTGCAGCCCAGTCCGAAGCCCTGGGAGAGGGAGCCTATCAAGCCACAAGGGAAGTCCCAAAGCCCTTAGCATGCAGAGTGGGTGAAAGGAAGAACCACTGGGAGCAGTGAAGGCTACAGCCTGAGCCAGTGCCACCTTGCAAGCCCCTGTCCAGTGTGAAGGTGTCTTACGTGGATGAATGGCCAAGGTGCCCGAGGGATATGACACCCACTGCCAGGCCCTGGAACATATCGGTCACCTGCTGGGAGCTGGGTCACAAACACACAGGAGAGACGCTTAGACGTCACACAGCACCAAGCCCAACGCAGCAGCAACCAGACCACCAGCAGCTACAGCACTTGCTAGTTACAGAACGCGGGTGGCACGACACGGGGCCCCATCATGCACAGGGCCATCTCATCATCCCCAGTGCTGCCACCCTCCTGCAGGGCTGGGATTAGACCAGCAAGGGGATTCCCAATAGCCAATGCTACTGCTTCACAGATTTGAGAAGGGGTCCCTACGCCGCCCCCTTCCCTTCTGCTCGGGGCTGGACCCGCTGCCTCTGAGAGCCCAGGCCAGGAGTCGAGGCACGTGACAGCAACCTGTTCTTGGCCTCTTGTCCCTGGGCTGGGAAAGCTTTGGAGCCAGTGAGCCAAGACCCCAGTCCTGGAGAGGCAAGCTCAGCTACCAAGAATGCCGTTGCTTTGCTCAACAGTAAGCCTTCTGGCTGGTAAGGGAGGAGCGAGGTCAGGCTCTGAAGGGAGTCTGCTCAGCGGCTCTCTGCCGGCTGGATTTGGGATGGGGCAGAGGAGATTCCTTGGGGTTTCAAACAGGGATCCAAAGGATGTCCTGTGTCCCACGCTCCCTGGCAGCCCAGTCCCACCGCAGCATGGGGTGGCCTAGGGCCCCACTCCCCGGCAAGGGGGCAGAGAACCGCCGATACCTGAGTGAGGGGTTTTTCTCCTTGGCCTTGGGCTGCATGGCTTGCTTGGGTGACTGGCCCACGGTGAAGGCGAAGGTGCCACGTACGTGCTGGGGATAGCGCAGCTTGTGCAAGTGCTTCCTGAAGACCTCGGCGCTCTCTGAAGCCACCTCCTCGTCAAAGGCAATCCGCAGCACCTGTGGGGACAGCAGGGTGGGCTCAGACTGCCGCTGCGGGGAGGGCCTTCACCCGGCCCACGTCAGGGCCAGGACCCCAAGGGAAGCACATTTAGCACACAGCCTGGGGCAGAGCCAACAGCAATGTGCCTGGGACCAGCCCACCAGGGCAGCTCACCCCTTTGCTGCTCACTCAGTCCAGCACCGATGGCTACTTTTGTCCAACGCCCCCAGTGGCTTCACAGACCCTACCGGATGGTTACTCGGTGTCCCTGTGCTGCCATCCCCGCTCCCAGGGCAGGCGGAGAGATCTGCTCATGTCCCCAGCTGCCCAGCTCCACACCCAAGCAGCAGTGTAGCCAGGTGGACGTTTCGGCCCTAGAATGAAGGCAGGTCCATTTCCTGCAGCACTGCGAGCGCACAACAGCCCTGGGAGCTAGGGGATGTGCAGTGACCCCAATCTATAGGTCAAATAAGTCAGAGTTGGAGCCCAGGAGATCCCAGGCCCCAGCCCAGTGGTCTGTCCACAGGAACGTGCCTCCTCCCCGTTAAGCATAGAAACTGGCCATGTGTTTGCAGTCAGCCACTGCCTGGGGTTCCAGCAGCCCCTCAGGCTGGACGGGAGAGGGAACCGCAGCACAGACCGGTTCCCTGCGCTGCTCTGAGAAGGGGCTCAGAATTGCATCATGGGCTGATCTGCACTGCCAGGGAAAGAGCTGTTTTTCCATGGGGCAGCCAGGGAGCAGATGTCACCTCAATACCTAGCTCGCCCTCTGGAGCAGGGCTGGCATGACAGGGCTACTCAGCCGTGGCACTTCGTCCTCACTCCAGGTACACACAGGAGAGGAGAGCTGCATGAACACTGGAAACATGAGGTGGTCAGGCTAGCGTCCCCCCAGCGTCCCCCCCACGCTCGGGCATTCTGCAGCTGGCTCTTCTCCCTCAACCCAGCCTCCTCCCTGCACCCCAACTTCCAACCCAGTATCCCAGGGCTACGTGAAGCCAGAATGGCTCTCGTGTCAACAGCTCTCATGTAACACAGCAGGAATGGAAGTCTGGGAGAAGGCAAATGGGCTGACCTGCCCCCCAACACCAACAGGACCACCCTGGTCCACCCACATCCCTGCCCCGCGTGTGGTCATCAGAAGCTCCATCCCTAAGAAATGATGCTTTTTATTTCCATATACAGAGAGCTCACTACCAGGCAGGAGTTTGGAGAAAGGCTCGCTGCCCAAATCTGTCATGTCTTCCTCCAAACACATTGGGTCACTCACAGGAGGACAGGTCTGGTGCCACAGCTCATGTCATGGCCACTAGTAGCAGCAGGCAATATTCTGTGGCTGCACAACAGGGTGCAGCAGCCAGCGATGCAGTGCAGAACAGCACATCTCCTTTGTATAGGAGCATGCAAAGGCAGTGAACTGGAACAAGGCTGCATCAATGAACCTGACACTTATCTGATAATACTGGCCTTACGTGCTTGAGTACGTGTGTCGTAAGTGACCTAATCCTAAACTGATTCAAGCTGCCAGGGTTAGCACAACATTAACATGTGCTTAACTTGTTTGCATTAGAATGTTTAGTCATGAAAATATTTTCATTTGTTTTAAAAATCATTGTGTGTTGTGTCTCTGTTACATCAGCTTGTATACTTTTGTTTCGAGGTGCCAATGCTAAAGTTCTAAAAGCCATGCGCACAAGCTCTTTCATGGCTGCGTTACATTAAAATATTTCTAGGAACTCGTATAAACAAGACACTGAAATCCAAGAGTTCTACGAAAAGGCTGTGCATATTATTTGGTCACTTCGGTTACATCCTTCAGGAAGAGCCACCTGAAGTAGGTTAATCCTACGTGAAAAGGAAATAAGGATTTACACTTCAGTGATTTCCGTGTGTTACCGTCTTCTCTCTCACGTACCCTGTGGTAACAGCCATGTTTGGATGCACCACTCCCGAATTCTCCTATGAAGACTTGTTACCAGCTTTTAACAAATGCCTCTTGTAGTTAACGTTTCTGAAAACCCGACTGGTCTGTGAGAATCCCTCCCCCCGAGCCCTTGGAGGAAGGGATGCTGCCTGTCAGCCCTGCACGGGTGCAATAAGCAATAGGAAAGGAATCAACTGGGGGTATACGTTGCAGACACCCCACTCCTTGTTCCATGGCTGCAGCACTGCCTGGAACAGGCTTGGGCCTAGCTCAGGTCCTACGCCCCTCAGGGCGCAGCATTCTGTAGGTCTGAGGGGCACATGGGGCTTGTGAGACATCACACCTTAGCACTACCATTGGTCCAGGACAGGACAGCAAATTCCATCCCCTTCTCTGCAATGGAGCCAACAGACCCCAGCAGGCAATGCTCAGCCAGGGGACAGTACTCTCTGGGACCTGCAGGCACCTGGCCTGATGGCTGCCTTTGGCCAGTCAGGCATGCAGCAGCCCAAAAGCCACACAAGCCCAGGAGGTCAGTGACCCCTCTACTCTGGGGAAACTGCCTGCAGGATCCATCTCCCAGCTGAGGCCCAACACAGCAGTTTGGCGAGGTCTGTGCTCCTCGCCCCAGAAGTCCAGCAGCAGCCGGGAATGTGGCCCAGTTGTCTGTCTGGAGAGTGTTTCCGGCAGGAGTGCTGGGGGGCTCGTCTCACCTGGAATGTGCATGAGCGCAGCTGTAGCACCTCCTGGATGAACTGATCCACCTGGGCTGTGACGCTGATCTTCTTCTCTTTCTGGATGAACTGATCGGCCTGGGCCTGGACGTTGATCTTCTTCTCTTTGGTCAATGAGGCAATGGGGAAGGACCGGACCACCACCTGCTCCCCCACTGGGGCCATGGAGAGAACAGGGGACACGTTAGTCACATGCAGGATAGGGTCTCGAACTGGCTCAGACCACCGATGGGCTGGGACACGCTGCCCTCAGCTGCTCCCCAGTAACTCCGGGACTGCGCTTGCTGCTCCAGGGCAGAATCAGCCTGTAGCCCAAGGCAGCGGGAGCTACATAAGGGGACCGGCGAATAAAACTGGGACCAAAGGGGGACCTGCTCAGCAAATGCCTCTCCCCAGACCAATGGGCAAACAGCCCCTCCCCTGTAAAAGGTAATTCCATTACAGTACTCTGAGTGAGCCCCCCCTCTGGCCACAGCCCGTTCTCAGATCCCCGGTGAGGGAAAAACCACTCACCAGCCCGGACTCCTGCTGGCGCTAAATGGCGCCGGGCTCCGGTTAAGCGAAGGCGAAAAGCCCCCTACAGCAGAATCCTCACTCCCAAGTCCAGTCAGCAGCAGGGCAGGGCCCCAGAAACCCCACCCAGGATGGATTCCCCCTGTTCCGGCAAATCCTCCACCTCCCATGGCTGATCTGCCCGAGGTCCCCGAGGAGCAGTGCGGAGACCGGCCCACCAGGCCACAGGGGATGCAGAGTATGGCGCAGAGGGAGGGTCCTCACCCAGCGGGTCCGTGGGGGTGCCCTTGAAAACGATGCGGTAAGTGGTGAGGAAGATGGCTCCTTCGGCGGGGAGCAGTGGGGGGCCCCCAATATTCCCTCCGGCAGCTTCTTCACGTCCGTCAGGCATGAGGTACACGCGGAGCCCTTCCATGACACACTCCTCACCCACCAGCAGGCTGGGGCGCAACAGCTTGGGCTGCAGGAACAAACAGGAGGAGGGTTGAAAGCCATGGGAGACAGGCCAGCCCCCCCGCACAGAGCCACGACGGCTGGGGAGTGGGGAGAGGTTCGCAGCTGGGCCCCACAATGGAGCTGCTTCAGCTCTTGCTGGAGACCCACTGGGCCCCCGCCCTGCCAGGGCAGACAGGGTTATTCCCGACTCAGCCCCGCCGAGCCCAGGTGCCTCAGAAGGGAGGCCCATGCAGGCAGAGGGACCCCTTTGCACCCCACAGGCTCCCTCAGCCATGGTGCAGGGCGTAGGGGGTGCAACCCGGAAGGGAGGGGATGCCCCTGTGCAGCTAGGTAGTACAGACCTTCTGAATAGGAGGGAGCCTCTTGCTCTCCCTGTGCACAGCATCCAGTGTCTCTATGTGCATCTGCACGATGTCTGAGGAGGAAGGGAGACGCAGAGTTAACCCTACGGGGCAGGAGTGTCCCGTCCCGGCTGCAGGCCCCAGACAGCAGGAGCCTGAGAACACGGGCCTATTGCAGCCTCTCTGCCAGCCTCCCCACTTCCTCTTGGGGGAGCATAGCCCTCAGTGGGCAGTGCCTGAGCACACCCTTCCCCTGCTCTGGAGGGGACTCACAGCAGCAAAGCGCTGGCTACAAACCCAGTCCCCCCCCATGCTGGACAAGCTGTTTACCAGGGATCATGATGTGCAGCCCCTTCAGGTGCTCGTTGGTGACGCCGCTCTCCGTGCACACCTTGTCCACGAAGCGGTTGATGAAGCGTACCACGTAGTTGGCCACGTCGGAGCTCTCGGCATCCTCAAACCCACTTTCCGTGTCGTAGCTTTCGGCCACGCTGCCGGCAATGCTAACACAGGGAGACTCGGCTGGGAGAGAGCCCGACCACGCAGCACACGCCGGCTCTCCCCCACACCCCCGACAGCCTTGCTCTCCCGGGCACCCAGGGCCACACACAGAACACACTAGTTCCACCCCCAACCTGGACAGCCTGCCTCCTCCAGGTCCTGGCAGCAAATGCCAGCTTCAGTCCCCCCTCCCGCCCAGATCCTTCAGTGGTAGCTCCCACACCTCCCCAGTCCCAGCGCAGCCCACCAGCCAGCTACCTGTTGGTGACGAAGCTGTTGCTGACGCTCTCCACGTCGCCTAGCCCCGAGCTGCGCAGCAGCCGGTTCTTGCTGGTGTCGAGGGGCAGCAGCAGGTAGCTCATGCGGTTGGCGTAGTGGATGGCCTGGCTGAAGACCGTGCTCTCCTCCTTCTGGATCAGCTCCTGCTGCTTCTCCCGGCTCATGGTAGGCCACAGCCTCCGCTGCTCCGACGCAATCTCCAGGGCAGATTTCTCTTCCTGAGGCCCCTCCTTGCCCTCCTAATGGAGCAGGGGGACAGATCAGCCCTTTGCGCGAGCAGGAAACCCGTGTGCCAGCTCCCACCCCACAGCGTCTGCAACAAAGCACCTGCTCTCATCAGGGCCTCCTACCCCCATCTCTCCCCAGGAGCCCCAAGCCAGGTCATATCCCAGACCCCCTGCCTTCAGGCCAGTTCTTGCCTCCTCACTAGCTACGAGGAAGGCTGGGCCAGGACGGCCTGGGACTGGTATTCCTGCCGCCCCATCACCTCATCCACGTGGTTCTCCTCATTGCTCTCCAGGTACAGGGCTCGGATGTGGTTCTGCACGTCGCAGTAGAACATGGCCTCCCAGAACTGGATGTTGGTCCACACGACGTGTTCCTGCACACAGCTGTAGGCAAACTGCGTGATGCCCGGGCTCAGTTTCTGGGGGGCAGAGAGAAGAGAGGGTCTCAGTGCAGATGCCTCCTGTATGCCAGCCCCTCCCAGCTCACCCAGGCTGTGCTCTAGCTGGGAAAGGCAGTGCCCTCGGCCAGCCAGTGGCACCACATACACTGAGCCCCCTCCCTGCACAAAGTAACACTGCACTGACTGCTCCTTCCGCATGCCCAATTCATGCCACAGCAAACCGCCTCTGCTGTCGGGGAGCAAACACTGAGCTCTGCTCCTGCGAGACTGAGGGACTCAAGGTCAACGCTCCCTGGACTCTGTGACCCAGCTGTCTGAGCACCCTGCAGCTGGGTGCCACAGCCCTGGTCTCAAGCCCAGAGATGAGCAGCGCCTGAGAGAGGCCCAGCCACGGCTGCTATGTCTCCCTGATAGGGAGCCCCTGCTGCCACAGAGGGTCTGGCTACACTGCAATGAAAAACCCTCTCCTGGCCCATGCCAGCTGACTCGGGCTTGTGGGAGAGACTTCTGAGCTCTGGGCCCCTCCCACCTCGCAGGGTCCTAGAGCCCGTACTCCAGCCCGAGCCGGAAGTCTACACAGCAATAAAACAGCCCCTCCGCCCAAGCCCCGTGAGCCCGGCTGGCGCAGGTTTTTGACTGCATTGTAGCTGTACCCAAAGTGGCTATCCCTGGGCGGGAGGAACTAGGCCAGTGGCTGCAGAGCTGACGTCTCTCCTCACACCACAGCCTTTCAAGGCCTCTCAGACCTGTTGGAGTCAAAAGGGTTTTGGGCCCAACAGGACTGAGGCAGGAGGCAGAGTGGAGCCACCACGCCTGCCTGCGCTCTGGCCCCTGTGGGGTGACCCCCCCCAGAGACCAGCCCCTGCACTGGCACAGCTCAGTGGCGCGCTCTGCAGTCATTCCGTAGTTACAGCCAGGCAGACACGAGGCCCTTCTGCCAGGATCCGCAGCATGCACCAGCCTGCACCGATACTTACTCGGCAGAAAGCAGTGACTAGTGGCAAAAGTGCTGCTGCAATCCCATGCTCATCCATGGCAGTGCAGTCCTGGGGCAGGGAGAGAGAGAAGAGATTAGCACAGAGCCCTGGAGAAAGGAGCATTCACTATAAGGCCCCCAGAACTACAGACCCCCAACACTGCCCCCAAACCTCATCCCCGCAGCTCTGGAGAGGGGTTAACTGGCATTCACCGCAGGGCCCCCAGAGCTGTAGACTTCCACCCACACACTGCCTCAAGTACCCTCCAGGACAGAGCTGTGCCGGCTTCTTCAGCATCCCGGAGAGGACCCCGTTCACATGGCATCAGCCCCCCGAAGGAATCCACGGGTGTGACCGCAGCAGCCCTGGTGAACCCTCGTCCCGCTGCAGCTCCAGCCAGCCCCTTGGCACGGTACCTGTAAACAGCAGTTCATCACGCGGACAATGAAGTCAAATTGTTGGTGGTCCAGTACAGCCCTGTTCTGCTGCACATGCAGGTTCAACTCCTGAGTCAGGCAGTGTCTGGCTGCTCGGCCCTTCATGGCCCTTAGCACAGCTGGAAGCAGCTGCAGGAGGAAGAGCAGAGGGTAGAGCGATGGGACCAAGCTTCCAGTCCAGGCCCTGCTGAGGATTACAGGCTGGAGGGCAGTTGGTAGCAATTGGCGATGGACATAGGATATAGAGTGCCCGCTGCAAGGCCTGACGCTTTGGAAACTTGCAGACAACGCACGCACCCACCCTGGGGTAGTCAGCACAGCCAGAGGTGACACACTGAGCCCCCGGTGCCGCAATGACCCACACTGCAAACCCACACCCTGGAAAGTCAAATGCAGCCGCACACAACACTCACTGCCCGCTGCTGGGCAAGGCTCCCAGGGATCCCAGCCCCTGTCTTGGCCATCTCCACAGGACAGTCCCAGGTAGGGGCAGACACAGACAGTGGCCACAGCATCCCAGATTTGCCAGTCCACACTGGTGAAATGTGGCAGTTAGCCAGGCTCCGTGGCACCATGGGCAAGAGGCGTGCTGATGAAGAGCGTATGAGGTGGTGGGGGGCAGCCTAGGCAGATGGAGGACTGGACACAGGCAGGAAGCTCTCTCCTCTAAGCGTCTGTGTGATGGGACGGCAGAGACGTAGAGCAGCCAGGGGCTGGGTGTCCTGTCTCTCCGCGCACCCGCCCCTTTACCACCAGCTCCCTGGGCCCTCACCTTTTTGGCTTCTAGCATCTTGTTCTCGAAGACGTAGGAGATGCAGTTCCTGACCACCTCCAGGCGGCGGGCGCTGTTGGCCAGGGCACTGCCATTGCGCTCCATGATGGCAGCTGGGGAGAAAAGCCACCAGTCACTACACTGCAGGAGCGGGTGAGGGAGGCTGGCCTGTTCCCCTCTGAGGGAGGCAAGCCGCACAGCCAGCCCATCTCTTTGTCCTGCTCTGGGAGGGCAGGGGCTGTGTGTTTGTGACGCCCGTGTGGGTCTCCCCTGCTCCCTCTCCAGCGGACAGCACGGCCCAATTGGCTACGGTGGAGATAAGTGGCCTCAGCGGCACAGATCCCCAGGGGACATGATTCCTGATTCCATGGACTCAGCCTAGCGGTAAAGGGCAAGGGGGATACAGGAAATGGGAACACTGGCCCTCCGGTGCCTTCCGTCCCTGGGGTGCCCAGGACTTCACAGCCAGCAATTCAATAACCCCTGGAGTGCTGGGCAGCAGCCCAATTTCACAGCTAGGCAAACTGAGGCACAAAGAGATACAGTGGCTTGCCACAGGGCATGACGAGTCAGGGGCCTAGCCAGGAACAGGCCCCAGCAGTCCTGGCTCCCCGCTCCCACTCTAACACACTAAGCACGTTGTTTCGGAAGCGAATGGTTTTCTGTGGTGGCAGAGCTGAGCAACCACCAGTAGAGACGCAGAGCGAGCTGCTCGCCTCCCCAAGCAATGCTGGCCCCGCAGATCTAGGCTCACCCTTTCAGAAGAGTCCACTGACTTTGGGTGCCCAATTCGAGGCACTCTGGGCTGGACTGTCTGAGGGGGCTGCATTGGGAGCTGTGGGTGCATCTCCAGCTGGGCACACAAAGGGTGCAGACTCTCCCAAATTCGGGCCTAGCCCCCCATCTCACCTGAAAGGCTCCCGGTGGGCATGAGCAGCTCCAGCACATGGTTAACCAACCCCCAGTTCGCGGCTAAGCCTCTGGGCTGACAATGGGGCCACACCCCAACCTCCACCTTCCCCGCCTCAGCTCATGGCTGCGGGGAATCCCAGCCACACGTAAGCACCATCTCTCCAGCCCTTCCTCGCTGACAGACCCCGGCAGCCTTCTCCACCCCAGGCCCACAGCAGGCTTTGAAATCCAACCAAGCTGCCAGCGGTGAGGCCAGTGGTGCCCATACTGGGCTGTGAGCCTGGCAGTGCGGAGGCAAAGCTCCACCTTTGCGTGGCCCTTTACCGTGAGGCTGTGCTCCTCCTGGGAGACATACCAATGGGGGGTCCCGATGGCACCATACACTTCTTCTCCGCCTTCACAGCCGGCGGGGCTGTCTGCAGCTTGGCAGTGGCCTGGTCGATGATCCACTGGACTGTCCCCTCGTCCAAGCGGGGAAAAGGCCTCTGGTGTAGGCGCAGGTAGCAACCTTCTGTGGGCTTCTGCACCTTGTGCATCGTCACTGCAGGGTATGGGTTCTCCTATTCCAGCAAGGGGCGCCGGTTACTCTCCAGGACAGACCTGCCATGCTGTGTCCCTGGGGAACTGCACCCGGCGCCAAGGCCAAGCCCTTCCCACACGTTACAAACCAGGAGCCCTCCAGCACCAGGCGCAGAGTACCCGGCTCAGGCCCAGCTGCACTATGCTCTCCGGAGCCACAGAGACAGTGACCACCCAAGCACACGTGGGGCCGGGAGAGCCTGGACATGCTGGGCAGGTAGGGAACTCAGCCCTCTGCAGCAGGGCAGTGCCCTCGCAAGTCTAACGGTGACCCTGGGCCATAGAGGGCAGTGCTGTCATGCTCCAGAGCCAGTCTCAGCAGAGCGCCCTCGGTCTGAAGGCTGGAGGGGTGGATGGCCAGATCCTCCAGACCAGTTGGGACACACGGGGGAGGAATTGCTCTGAACACCCCCCACGCCCACCCATGCATGCAGAATCCCTCCAAACCAGAGAGAACCAGGCAGGCAACGGGTTGACAATTCAAACCACAAGGCCACATTCCACCTGGGCCAGCTCCAAGAACGGTCACCGATCTACCCCTCTGCCACCTCCAGCTGTGGCCGGCAGACGAGGGTTGAGGCATAGGGCTGGAACGTACCCCAAGGAGAAGAGGCTCCCGCACTGGGCATGCAGCACCAGAGGTGAAGTGAGAATGGCACCTCCTTCAGTGGGGGCCCCTGACCCTAATCAGAGGGAGGCTTTGCCCCCGTGCCGGGCTCCCACCTCCACCTTATTCCCACCCCCAGACACCCCACTGTGCCCTGCTCACCCCACAGCCCGGCCCTCGGCACTTACGTTTTTATAGAGCTGCTCTGCCAGCTCCTTGATGTGCCGCAGTATTTTCTGCTTGCTCCCCTCCTCGGCACGCATCCGCTTCACTTCATGGGCGACCAGCTGAGGGTGGAGAAGAGGCATGAGGGGCAGCCTCCTGCGTGGGAGCACGGGTGCCGTATTGGCTGTGCTCCTTCGTGCCAGGACTGCCCCAGCTCAGGCTGTTCCTCAGCTGCTCCCGGCCCATGCAGAGCGCTGCAGCCAGCAGGCGGAGGCTGCTCCCCGGACGTCTTTGGCTCACGCCTCAGTCCCTCGGAGGGGAAAGCAAGAGCTCAGACATGCTCTGCGGCCTTTGGTTATTTACTGAAGGCGGTCAGTGCCAGAGACGGAGACGTGCAGGGCTACCAACCAGGGAAGGGAGGAGTTGCCCGCAAATCACCTCTTACCTCATCAAACAGGTCAATTGCTCGGTATGGGGCGCCCCTCTCGGTCACAAAGCCAGCGAACGCCATGCCCTCCAGGACCTTGGTGAGGAAGTCATCCTCCACCAGCCCCCTCTGACCGAGGAAGGCTGCCTACCAGAAGGAACAGCAGACAGCCATTAGCCGCGGACTGGCCTGAGTCTCAAAGCCAGCCAGACGTGGCACCACGCTATCACCATAATGGGTCACGGGCTCTCAGGTCACGAGGCGGAAAAGAGCAGGAGCCAATGGTGGCAGCCCCCAACCTTCCAGACAGCAGCCCCACGCTGGGGGAACTAGCAGAATGTGTGCACAGCCATGAGCCTTCCTTTCCCCCAGCCCGCTTGTAATGCGGTGTCTATTTCAGACCCAGACCCTTGGGCAGGGCTTTATTTGCCCATAAAGTACCAGATGGTGCTGTATAAATGCCCCCCCTGAACACTTCCCCCTCTTCACAGCCCTGAGGAGTGGGTCAGACTTAGATTCATTTACAGACAGGGAAGCCCAGAGAGAGAGAGATACGGATTAGAACCTGGGCTCACAGCAGTGCATGTCAGAGCCAGAGCTCAGGAGTTCCTGGTCCCAAGGCCCCTACTCACAATGCTGCACTCCTCAACCCAACAGCTCTCCAAGGCCTTTACAGCCATCCACGTACAGGCACTAGTTCAAATACGGCCGCCTCTGGGATGGAACCCAGGACAGCAGCGTGGTTTGAGACTGGAGCAATGCTGTATCCGATGAACTCCAGGGGGAGTGCAGGGGACAGAATGGAATACACCCGGGACACCAAGGCTGGAGTGGTCAGTTTCACATCTCATGCAGTAGACAGGCTCTCTAACAGCACAGCACCACTCCCCCCCGATCCCTCCCTTCACGTTGCACGGAGGAGCACACTGACTCAGGGCTTGTCCAGCCAGGGAGGTTTTTATGGAATAACTAATCTGAAGTAAGTGTGTCCACACAGCCAGCTGTATTCGAATTCCTCAGGAATCAGTGCATTCACATGGCACTGCGTTTTTTGTTTTGCTTTTTAAATAAGCATACAACGTTCTGGGAGGGTATTCCATGGTGCATTGCGCAGCTGCTGGGCTCTGGGCAGTCTGGGATTTTTATCGCAGGGCATTGTGAAGTCACTGGAATTCTGGAACTTGGAAGCAAAGGAGCAAATTCCCATGGTTCCTCTCTTGGCATCCCACGATTCATCTGTCCCTTGTGAGCCAGCGCCATTTTCAAACTGTTGTCAGCTGGCATGGAGGGAACACTGCTGCCTGCAGCCATCCTGACTGCCGTTAATACACATAGGTTGTCCCACTTGCATTTGCGGTCCAGCAGCTGGATGACTTTAGGAGTCAGCCAATCTCGGGAGAGGAGTGGTGGAGGATGACATCAAACAGCTGCTTGTGGATGGCCATTTCCTGGACCAGCTTCTCTCAGGATGCCATTTCTGGGCTCAGGAAACAAGCCCCGACAGCTGGGAAAGGGCAGTGATGTGGAGTGGCAGCAGGATTTCAGGATGACAAAGGCCACTTTCCTAAAGATCTGTGCAGAGCTCACCCTGGAGCCACAGCACGCTGACCTGGAGAAGCATGTGACCATTTGCTCACCGCCTCCAACTTCATGTCTGTAGCTGACCAGTTGGGTGCTGGCAGATCAACTGTTGGGGCGGTTGTCAGGGATGGATGCATTGCTAGAGAGGGCACTGATGCCCAGGGTCAAACACACAGGAAGTTACCAGTGGATTTGCATTGTTGGGGTTCCCAAATTGTATTGGGGCCACCAGCGGGACCCATGTGCCTATTCTTTGCCCCCCACATCAGACCTCAGAGTTCATCAATAGAAAGGGGTATTTCTCCATGGCTGTTCACTGTGGGAGGTTCACCAGTATTAATACACCAGGGGGGTGGGGTGGGGGGAGAGAGAGTCTGGAAAGGTCCGTGGTGCCAAGATCCTTAGAAACTAAGCCCTGTTTTCTTCAATGACAAAGGGTACCTTTGCTCCCAGGACCGCTATGGGCATTAATGGTGCTGTGATTCCCAACGTCATCCTGGGAGACTCCGCTGCAGAGGGACAACGCAGCATGTGTTTGGAAGGCTAAGAGAAGTGCAGGAGCCTGGTGATGAGGCTGGAGACTGATGAGCAATATCTACCTTCTGTGAGAGCTGCTTGCTGTACTTTGCCTGAGAGGGTAAGAGAAAGCACCTCACTGATGGGTGGGAGGAGAAGGGGCAGAGACCTCCAGAAAGTTACAGCCTGAGAGGCTGCTTCTGCAAACCAGCACATCATCAGGCCACGGGGGCAGGTTGCCCAGTGTGCCTCCTTCAAGGCTAGGAGCTCAGACGTTGAAATGTACCGGGTACAAAGTGCGTTAGTCACTGGCAGGATTGTATGAAATGGAAGTTTACTATGCTTTTCCATGCTGTGTGCAATGATTTATGAAAGGGCATTTTATTGTGTTGATGGCCTGCGTGCAATTCTAAACCACAGAACTTTAGTCAGAAATAACCTTTATCGAACATCAAACAGAGCAAATAAAACACGTTACTGTGCACATGTGAAACCAGTGGAATGTAAATCACAACATAAACAATGTACACTTTATGGACCATAACTGTGCCAAAGTAGATCACCTGGTCCCAAACATGCACAGGTGCGGGGCTTCTGCTTGTTCTGGCCTGGGGGTGTAGAATGGCGAGGGGAGAAACTATCACGTGTAGTAGCAGGAGTGAAGTTGGGTCCCAGGATCCACTGTTCTCCGTGTGTTGGAATATGGAGGGAATTGCCTGGAGCTGGAGCTTGGAGAAGGGTACTGCTGCTCAGAACACCGGGCTCTCCACAGCCTACAGGAAACAGGTGGGACCACAGTACCAGAATGTTCTCCAGCATGACTGTCTGCTTGTGCATCAACTCCAGCAGCTGCCTCTGCACGTACCTCTCTTTCTCAGTGTCGTCCCTTGCCAAGTCTCTGTCCTCTCTCCACAAGGAGGCCTTCCTCCATCTTGTGTTCTTAACTCTCTTCTGGGATGCAGACAAAGTCCCCAGACGTTTCCTCTCTCGTCTTCCTTTTCTTGACCCAGAGATCTGCCACGTTCTGAAATTGATAATGTCCGGTTGGGGATGAGGGGAGGCAGCGAGTGCCGGAGCTGCAGGAGCTGTGAAACAAGTAGTAGTTGTACTAATTCCAGTCTCCCAAGCAATGATAGATGATGCTTTCCTCAATTTTGGATACCGCTCCTGGAGCCCTGCAACCTGACCTGGACCCACCTGCGAGAGTCTGGACAGGTCTAAAAACAACCCAACCCTCTCGGTCAGGTCTGGTCGGCTCAGATCCTCTCACTCCGCAGCACGCACAGCACAGTAAGGCAGTGGCAGTCGGCAGGATCGGGGCAAACACCTGCTGCCACACTGATAGATCATGGGCACAGGAATCCCCTACCAGGCCGAGCCCCAAGGACAAGGCAGCAGCAGCTCTGGCACAGGGTTGAGGGAGGAAGTGTCAGGTTTGAACTGGGTCGGTTTTGGAAATGACTTTCTTGGGTTGGGTCCGGGTCCAGGTTGGACTTTAAAATGAGGCTCAAGCAGATCTCGATCTCGTTCCTGTAGGATCTTCCCAGTCTGGGGTGAGCTTGGAGATGGTTAGGCCGTTTTCAGTGAGGCTGATGACTGTGGGTATGAATAGTTCAGAAAAATTGCAGCGGTAGAGCTTAAATTCTCTGGTGCAGATGCCATTTTGAGCACCGTGGTGGGAAAGGAGGGATGAAGTTTGTTAAGCTCCCTTATAGAATTATGTTGTAATAGATATAAAATATGTTGTGATATATCTTGACTTTAGCGAAGATTTTGGGGATTATTCTTGCCAGCAAGTTAAAAAAGTATGGATTGAATGAATGGACTATAAGGTGGATAGAAAGCTGGCTAGATGGTCGGGCTCAACGGCTCCTGATCAATGGTTCCATGTCTAGTTGGCAGGCGGTATCAAGCGGAGTGTCCCAAGGGTCGGTCCCGGGGCCGGTTTTGTTCAGCATCTTCATTAATGATCTGAATGACGGGATGAATTGCACCCTCAGCAAATTCGCAGATGACACTAAGCTGGGGGGAGAGGTAGATATGCTGGAGGGTAGGGACAGAATCCAGACTAACCTAGACAAATTGGAGGATTGGGCTAAAAGAAATCTGATGGGGTTCAACAAGGACAAGTGCATAGTCCTGCACTTAGGACGGAAGAATCCCACGCACTGCTACAGGCTAGGGACCGACTGGCTAGGCGGCAGCTCTGCAGAAAAGGATCTGGGGATTACAGTGGACGAGAAGCTGGATATGAGTCAGTAGTGTGCCCTTGTTGCCAATAAGGCAAATGGCATATTGGGCTGCATTAATAGGAGCATTGCCAGCATATTGAGGGAAGTGATTATTCTCCTCTTATTCGGCACTGGTGAGGCCACATCTGGAGTATTGCATCCAGTTTTGGTCCCCCCACTACAGAAGGGATGTGGACAAATTGGAGAGAGTCCAGCAGAGGGCAACGAAAATGATTAGGGGGCTGGGGCACATGACTTATGAGGAGAGGCTGAGGGAACTGGGTTTATTTAGTCTGCAGAAGAGTGAGGGGGGATTTGATAGCAGCCTTCAACTACCTGAAGTGGGGGGTTCTCAGTGGTGGCAGATGACAGAACAAGGAGTAATGGTCTCAAGTTGCAGTGGGGGAGGTTTAGGTTGGATATTAGGAAACACTACTTCACTAAGCACTGGAATGGGTTACCTAGGGAGGTGGTGGAATCTCCTTCCTTAGAGGTTTTTAAGGCCCGGCTTGACAAAGCCCTGGCTGGGGTGATTTAGTTGGGGATTGGTCCTGCTTTGAGCAGGGGGTGGGATTAGATGACCTCCTGAGGTCTCTTCCAACCCTAATCTTCTATGATAGCACGTACCACTCACTGGCAGTGATCCTTTCCCAGAACTATCTTGGTGGGAGTCCACTTGGGTGTTGGGAGACATCACTTCCTCAGACTCTTGTGCGGGAAAGAGATCCTGGGTTTGCTGGGAAATTTCCTCCTCACTGGAGTCCTGATCAGGGTCTGCACTCCTGGGTGCCGTTCACAACATACCAGAATTCAGTGGTGGCCTCCTGGGCAAAAACGTGGTGCAGCTCACAGTAGAGGGCAAGTGCTGGGAGCATTCCTGAAGGTCTTGAGGCTATCCTAGGGTTTCTGTAACCCTACTGGCCCTCCTTTCCTTTGCTCTAACATGGGACCTTTTCCCAGGAATGATCCCTCTCCAGGATTTGCTTCGACGTAGGCTCACAATATTGGCTCTCTGGTAGCTGCTGCTAAGGCAAGACTGGACCGTCTCCTCTTCCCTGCCCTCAGGGCAACCCATGATCTCTGCACGGGTCCACTCAGGAGAAGGGTATGCAACTCCAGCAGTGTGTAATTGGGGTGCACATGGCTGTGCACCAGCATTTAAATGGGGGAGGTGACATCCAGTCAACATGATCCCAGACAAGTAGAGAGAACACAAGTAAGGAGACAGGTCGATCCAGATGTGAAGCAATGCAATGTGGGATGCAGTGGGAGGATTGCCAGTGGCAGGAAAGAGAATCCGAAATAGAGCAGCATCCACACAAAACCTTTTTCCAGACTAACTTATCTCAAAATGAACTTAATCCACTTCCACGCTGAATTATCCACTTCGCAAAAGACCAGATAACTGGGAAAAATAATTGTGTCTTGTGGGCACAAGGCATTTTAACCCAAAACCAAAAGGCAATGTGAAATCCACCCCCATCCCCTACAGACAAGCTCTCAGAGGTAAGAGTTTCCCGTACCACGTTACTCACACTGCCCCCTGCAGTACCTGGGTTTTTGGGTGCTCTGCCCATCCAAGTACTGATTCAGGCTCAAGCCCACTTACTCGGTGACCTTCTGTGCTCTGGCTCCAAGGGTGCATCTGAAATCCCCTCCACCCACCCCCCCATGTACCAGCGGCCTTACCTTGTGGAAGCGGATGACTGGCTCTGGGTGGATGCGGATGATGTGCAGGCACCAGCGGTAGCCCTGCAGCAACTGTGCAAACAAGCGGAGGAAGACAGCTCGGATCTCCTTGTCCTGCAGCAAGAGAAGGACAGAACAGTCAGGCACTGAGAGGACAGCAGAGGAAGCAGCCGGAGAGGATGGAGCCAGAAGCTTGGCAGCAGAGATGCCTCCGCAGGAAGAGAGAGGCTCCGACCCAGCCGCCAGACCCAGCACCTGCCAGGCAGGAAACACGAAGGGACGACTGGTGGAAAGCAGGGGGTGGGATGGAATGGGGAGGGGAAGGAAACCCATGCCCCCTCCCTCTGCACCGAGCAGAGACAGAGGGAGGTCCTTACATTGCTCACAGTGAAACAGGCCCTTCACAGTTCAGTGCGGCTGTAACGCTACGGTGTCTGCTGAAGAAGCTGTCCCCAGTGCACCAGATGAGGGTGATTTCCAGCTCCTGCCGAGAGCTAGGGAGCTCCATATGCATAGGGGAGGCATATCCATAGGGAGGCCAACACAGAACCCTCCTCTCTAGCCCTGTAAACACCATCTCCAGCCCAGCTATTTGCAACACCACTGTCGGCTCCTTAACCAGCACCTAGATGGAAGCTTCAGCCCCACCTTGCTCCTGGCCCTGGAAATAAAGAGCAGCCCCTCCCAACCCCAGCAGGGAAAGCAGCTCCTCTGCAATCCCACGCCCTAGGAATGGGCACTCAGAAGGGACACACGAGTACAAACGCTTCTTCCCAGGCCCCTCCCAGCTCCCCCACTCACCTGCATTTTGAGGGAGGGGGCAGAGACGGTTGATGGGGGGAATGCTAAGTCTGCTACCTCCAGCTCAGGGTCCAAGATCTGCAGAGACAAGCAGAGAGCATGCTCAGAGAGGAAGCCCTAGCCCCCTGGGAGTTCAACCACCACAGCTGGAAGAGGCCAGGACTTCCTCAATGGACCACGGAGCAGCTGGCACTGGGCCCTGCCCTGCAGTGAGCCCTGGGAAGGGGCACTCTCCAGAGAGAGCACCAGGCCCAGAGAGAGACACGGTCCTGCCAGCCTTGGGGACCAGACCTGAAGAGGCCTGCAGGCCACAGTGCCTTTGGACTGGGGCAGGAATTGCAGGATGGAGTTCTATAGCCTGCATCGCACAAGCCCAACTAGATGAAGGTGAGGGTCTCTTCTGCCCTTCAGATAGCTCCCTGCAGCTTCACAGGGCCCTGCTTAGGGTTGTGGCCCTGGAGAAGCCTCCTCAGACATGTCACTTGGCTTGGGAGAGGGGATGGGAGCTCCAGGAAGTTTCCATGACCCTGCCCACTATCGCCTCTCTGCTTTGGCTTCAAGCCCTGTTCCGTCAGTAGGCTGCCCATAAGGAGAATAGTCTCCACGTCTGACCGACGTTGCTGAGGTGCTGTGCTCCCTTGTAACCAGGCGCACTGTAACTTCAGAGCAGCAGCTGCTGATCAGAGGCCTGGCTCCTCAGTGCAGACAGAGATTCTTCTATCCTGACTGGACAGACAGACCCCAGACAGGCACCAATGCAGGGGACTGCCTGGAAACCACCAGCTTTCCTGAGCCACATTCTGCAATCAGCATCAGCGACAGCTGCTAAGGCCATGTTGTTCTGGTCACACATGCCCAGGGTCACAGCCCCTCTGGGAGCAGCTAGCACCCATGCAAGGAGCTCCAGGGTGTGACAGTGTACCCCATAAGGCTTTATGGGGAGGGGGTGCTTATAAATGTATGTATGACATAACTGGAATATGTTTGGTGCTGCCTGTGCCAGGTAACATATCTCCGTAAAGGTTATGGTCTACTATATCTATTCATCCTATTTGTACATACATATATCATTTTCTACTTGAGGTTAAGAATATGGTCTGTATGCTTGCTTGGTTTCTAAGTAAGCTTTGGGAGGCATTTGGTCAGCTTCTTTAGGAAGGAATTCGCCAGGTTAAGTACCTGATCAGGAAACACTTGGAGAACAATGCATCTTGGAATGCTCCAATCCACAAAAGAAGTCTTCCTGGAGACATGCAAGATACCATGTGGACAATGGCTTCAGCCTGTAAAGACTGAGTCATGCAGGGACATGTGACTTGTCCAGGTGACTCCAGGACTCCATCTTGGAGCTGGACTTTGCATAGGAGGGAGGAGGGGGGTCTCCTCCCACAAGAGAGAGTCTATTTAACCCTGGGGGAGACCCCTCCATTTTGTCTTCAGCTGGCTAAAGAAGGAGCCTCTCCAACCCCCCAGGATGCTTGAAGGAAACTGAAACAAAAGACAGTAACTACAGGGGTTGTGAGAGATTGCTGGACCCAGGCTAAAGGGAGATTAGCCTGTGAAAGGGAGCATTCTGGAACTGGTGAGGAACTTATCTGTATTTAGTTTGATTAGACATAGATTTGCGCATTTTATTTTATTTTGCTTGTGACTTACTTTGTTCTGTCTGTTACTACTTTGAACCACTTAAATCCTACTGTCTGTATTTAATAAAATCACTTTTTATTTAGTAATTTACTCAGAGTATGTATTAATACCTGGGGGAGCAAACAACTGTGCATATCTCTCTATCTGTGTTATAGAGGGCGAACAATTTATGAGTTTGCCCTGCATAAGCTTTATGCAGGGTAAAACGGATTTATCTGGGTTTAGACCCCATTGGGAGTTGGGCATCTGAGTGCTAAAGACAAGCACACTCCTGTGAGCTGTTTTTGGGTAAACTTGCAGTTTTGGGACAAGTGATTCAGACCCTTGGTCTGTGTTGGAGTCAGACAGGAGTGTCTGACTCAGCAAGACGGGGTGCTGGAGTCCTGAGCTGGCAGGGAAAACAGAAGCAGGGGTAGTCTTGGCACATCGGGTGGCAGCTCCCAAGGGGGTTTCTGTGATCCAACCCGTCACACAGGGCTGGAGTGGTTTCCTGTTTGGAGAGAGAGGACCATTCACAAGACTCCCAGAAACCTGAAGCAACTGCAGGTGCCGACCCCCAGCACCCCAGTGTGCCCTGCAGGGAGGAAGGAAGCATGACAAACCTCAAGTGATATGATCACAACCTCCCAAGACGTGGGAAGACTCCCTATTCAGGCTCTGCTGCTGTGCCTGATTTCACTCCCAACACCTGCCCACAGGGTCCTGGCCACATGCCTCGAGTGCTATATTCACACCCATATCAGGAACCTCTTGAGACGGGAAGGGGATCAGTCCTGGGGTCCCACACTTACCATGGAGAGGGCTTCTCGTGTCTGATGGAGCAGTGGCTCAGGCAGCAGGGAGATGTGAATGCACTCTGGGATGGTCACCGTCCCACCATCCAGATCTGCTATGACGACATCCAACTGAAAGCAGCGAGGCAGGCATGAGCATACAGACAGGACAGGCTTTCTGGAGTGCTCCCCACCCAGCTGAGTGACCCAGCAAAGGAGCTGCATACAGCTCTCTTTTTTTTGGGGGGGGGGGGGGGGGGGGAGGGGGGGGAAGGAATTTGTACTTAACAGCCCTCCTCCTGCATAATCTGGTAGAGCCTAGAGCACTTTAGAATCCCTATAGCTTCTTACACAGTGCCCGTTGCCACGGTACTTGAGCACTTGCTGACATACGAAATACGCCTGGGGAGCACGTCAACGCCTGGGGAGCACGTCACCTGCTGGGGTGAAGTGCAGCAGCTGTGTAACAGCCACAGGAACGCTGCACACCAGGGTAGGACAGGAGGCAACACCACCATTTCCATCTGAACCTAACAGCAGGGGGGAATCAGGAACTGCACAAATCAGGGTGCTACCAGGACACCAGGGTTCACAGCTGCACTCTTAGGGGAAGTGCCAGGGGATCTTACCAGGGATCAGGACCTTGGCTTTACATCTCACTGAGACAGGGCACTGAGACAGTACTGACCTCACCAAATGAAACACCAGTGCCAATCCCGCAGCACCCACAGGCTTGTCTGCATGAGGCTGGCCGGTTTAACAGGTAATTTTAAACCAACTTAGTTGAAGCAGTTCAAAAGGCCGGGCAGGCACTCTTGTTTCGGTTTAAATCAGGCTTATTTCAGTTTAGCTTAGAACTGACTTAACTAAGGGCTTGTCTATACTGACAATTTACAGCGCTGCAACTTTCTTGCTCAGGGGTGTGAAAAAACACCCCCGAGCACAGCACGTTTCAGCGCTGTAAAGCGCCCATGTAGACAGTGCCCCAGTGCTGGGAGCTACGCCCCTCGTGGAGGTAGTTTGTTTAGAGCACTGGGAGAGCTCTCTCCTCGTGCTGCGCCGTGACCACACAAGCCACGTTGAAGCGCTGCCAGTGTAGACTAGCCCTAAACCCAAACCAGGTGCTCAAAGCGCAGTAAGTGCCCACACAGCCTTCTCAATTATGGAACTTATTGCATCTTCAGTCACCGTCATGTAGATAGGACCCAAGTCCCAGGCAAGCCCAGCCCCGGCCCAGCCCTGCTTGACTTGTGAGACATGCCTGGATCTCAGCCCCGGCCGGTCTGACTGAACAAGTGCAGCCTGTTCCAGCAGGGTTTGTTTATCCCCGCACTCCCATTCCCACTGGCACATGACCCCTTGCCTCTCCCTCAAGAGCTTGGACCCAGGAGGACTGGAGCAATGTGGGGGGAGGGGAAGAGTTACTGCACAGACAGGGGTACGCAGCGCCTCACCAGTTCCTGCGTCTCCGAGTGGAAGATGGAGCTGACTCCAATGATGAAGGGTGTGGGAGTGCTGAGCACCTCAAGGAGCTGTGCAGGTAAGATGGGCACGTACGTGAAACTGTAACCAAAGCAGATCGTCACTACAGCCAATCAGGAGCTAGGCTGGGCCCAGCGTCTGGCTACAAGACCCCGCTGCACCCTGGCCAAGCCAGGCTCCAGAGCCACCCGGACTGTGCAATAGTCCCCCAGGGAAATGATGGCGCCCACATCACACAAGTCATTTCAAACCGGCCTGGTGAAAGTCCTGGGGAAGATAGCCCAAGGAACAACCCTGACCCAAGATGGGACCCACGTTAATAGCCAGTGGATAGTGAGTAGTGGTGTCAAGGCCCTTCTGCCATGGCAGGCACTCTGAACTGTGCGCCTCACAGCTAGGGTGGCTTCTAGGTTTGTAAAGGGACCCGCAGTCATGTTATCTGGCTCTAAAGTTACAGTCAGCCTGTGCCCATGTCCAGTGCTTCCAGCTCGAGGGGAGGGGGGTATACATGCCAAAGGAATATATTTATATTTTAAATATAAAGAACCCTTCTCCAGTGGCATTGGCAGCCTGGAACTAGAGCAGGCAGCTAGCAGCGACAATGACACATCTATCTTCACTGCCCTACCCTGGAGGGGTGCAAACAGTGAGCAGCGTAGGACATGGAACCCTGTCCTGGGCTGGGAAGGGAAGTCAGGTCACTGTTTGAGCCAGTCAACATCTCCCCTTCAGGGTGGGGTGAGCAGGGCGCCCAGCCGTCTCACTAACGAGTGCCCTGTATGCAATCACCCTTTCTGGGGAGGGTCACTGGGGGTGGTCAGCTCTGGGGGGCTCCTGGAGTCCTGCTGATTTCCTCTACCCCATTCAATCAGGTCACTGGTGGGGTGGGCTGGAGAAGCCTTACAGCAGGGCTCTGGAGGTCTGCACTGCCTGCAGAGTGACTTAGCCCTGGAGTGTATCACAGGGGAACCCCAGAGGGCCCAATCCTGTAAGTGCGAAGCCTTTACTGAGCTCAGCGAGAGCTGATCACACTCGCCACCTGCAGCACCTGGCTACCTGAGACATCCCCCTCTCTCACCACGAGGCCGTGCGGCAGCTGCAATCAGTTCATGCTCACAGCTCCTTGGGCTCGGAGGAAGCAGCTGGCAGGGGCCTTCAGCGCTGAAACTCGCTCCCTCTCTGATAGTCTAGAGCCCAAATTTTGCTCAGGGGGTGCGGAGCTGGGGTTATTCGTGTTATTTTGCTGTTGAGGAATTTAATTATAATAGACGCCGCTAAAGCCATGGACAGGAGCTTTCAGTGCAGCCAAAGAACACGTCTCTGATTTGATTTCACCTGGCCATCCCCGACAGTGCTTGGCCTACAGTAATCAGCCACACTAGTCATGGGACTTGGACACCATTAGTGCACGGAGCCAGATGGAGGCACGGCAATCTGCAAAGCCGGAGACGGGCTTTGCACGGGATGTCGAGCCCCTTTTCAGCACGTAGCTTTACTCCAGCCACGTGTCAGGTGGACTCGGCACTCCCTCACCTGTACTTGAGAGGGAACATGAGCGCAAGCAGGGCCCGGCAGGCGTCTGTGAGTCTCTGGTAACTGCTGGAGAGAAACAGGATCTTGTGTTCGGTGAGTGCAGCACAGAAGAGACACAGCACGTTGGTGATCCCTGGGGAGAGAAGGGGCAGAGCATACAGCGCTTGCAGGTGGATTCTTCCCAAAGTACAGCACCAGAGTCCTGCTAGAGCCCCACGAGCTCCTGCTCTCTCACCCCACCAAACAGGCTGCCAAGAGTCTCCCCCACATCCCCACCCCTTGTTGCCCCTTCCTCCTGCTGCATGGGGATGGGACTTCCTCTTCCATTCACTGGACAGCAAGTGTGTCAGTCGTCTACTAGAAACCTCCTGTCACCTCTGGATCAGTGCTAGGACCTGCTAACTCACGGACTGTTTCTGAGCTTAGGGCCAGCCAGACTGCTCTGAAAGTCCCTTGGGGACTCCCCTGGAGCTCTGCACACCCCCTTGTCTGGCATCTTTGGCAGCTGATGCAGGGAGAGCAGCTGGAGCACAAATCCCTGCACAGAATGGCCTGCAGCTGCTCAGACCCAGCCCTGCCTTCTCCTGCTGCCCCGCCTAGGTGCTCAGTCAGCGCCCATTAACATGGCATCTGAATGGACCCACAGTTTGGGGCCACAACCAGCGCCCAACTGCCAGGCTCCCCCTCACTTCCTGAGAGAAGGAAGGCAGTGTGAGTTGGAGAGATTTGGTCGGATGTGGGGGTGGGGGGTGGGGAGGGGTGGAGCACTGAGCTGATAAGCTGAGGTCAGGAGCATGGCATTGGGGGCAGCACGAGGAATTCACTGCAAAGGGCACTGGCTGACGGTATTCAGCACCTGTCCCTATGAGCAGGTGAGGCCGGGGTGGAGTCTCACCGAGCTGCCGGAAGAGCACTGCTACGCTGCAGCTGCTGACGGGGAGAGAGTCATTGATGGGCGTCTGGATCACCTGCCTGTCGCCTGCCCCTAGAGAGATCGTCCTCTGCAAGAAACAGACACACACCAGTCACTGGGATTCAGGCCGAGTAACAGACGAGCGCAGGCATCACAGGGAGCCAGCTCCCACCTACCACCTCAGAGTGGAAGGCCAAACTCCAGAAGCAGCTGGGCTCACCCAGTGACGGACAGGACAGGACACAGGGGCCAAAGGGACGTCGTCCAGCTTTATACCCTGTGGGGTGGCACAGGGCCGCCCACCATAGGCAACTGCGTCTTTCCCAGCTGCAGTGTGAGCGTGACTCCTCCCTGCAAGGGGAAGGGCACCCTGCGGTGGGGCCGATAGGTAGGTACTGCCTGACTCAGTGCTGTCCCAGTGAGGGAGAGCCACTGGCCAGCTGCAGAGGGGAACCACCCCCAAGACAGTTACGGCTGTACTTAGCACTCAGCCTACTGGATGGAGTTCATTCCACTGGGATATCCTGGGCACGCCCAGAAGCACATGCAGTGTTGCAGCAACTGGGGTAGCCAGTACAGCAGCGTCCGGCCCTGTCACCAGAAACACACAAGCTCTCATTGCAGGTACAGTGTCTTACGCAAGGAAGAGGGGAGCACCAGCTGCCCCAGACTGGTCTGAGGGACGAAGGCTGGATGGATCAGCATAGCCTCCCCCTTTTGCAACCATTTATTTTAAACCTGTATTGAGCTCTTCCCCTGCCCCAGAGCCTGGACTCCCACCCACCCGTGGGTTCCTGGCCTTGGTTCAGAGCCTGTACGATCTCAGGACTTCAGGTCTATTGATCACACTCCCCTAAGGATCTCTGAGACTCCTGCAATGCTCACGCACACTAGCGTCACCACATTTACTGGGCACGCTCCCTCCTGGCCACTGCCCCACCTCAGATGCCCCTTAAAACCTTCACTGGCGCACACCAGGGAGGGAACAGCCCTGGCCCTCAGAGAACTCAACAGGACTTCTCCCAGAAAACACTTGGGATCTTGTGCATTCGACAGGCAGTAAGAACGGAGCATACTATCTCTGATGTCACCCAACTGGGTCCCAGGACATGTAACCCCTTCTTCTGTGGCCCATGTTCATGGTCACCTGCATCCCTAACTAACACACACACACACACAGAGCCATGTGCACAACCAGGGGTGCACTGCCTGGGCTGGGGAGACGCACAGTCTCTCCTCCCACTCTCTGTGGGGGATGCTGACCCAGCAGCTGCAGGGGCCGGACATGTGCAGCTTTTGAACATCCAAGGGAGGAGTGTTACAGAGGAGACAGACCCGATGAAAGAAAAGGTGTGCATACCGCTCTTTCGTCCTCCACGTCAGGCTGAGATAGGGACAGACAGAGATAGCACAGTCAGTTAGAAACGCACAACACTGCAGCACAGCCAGACAACAAGGAGGGACGTGCACACATCATACCAAAGCCAACAGTGAACGGGGCCCTGAACCCCCAAAGGAGGGAATGTGCAGACAGACACAGCAAAAGCCACAGCACAACATTTAGAAAGAGCCCTTCCAGATACAGCAGGGGGGGAAGCAAAGTGCAAGAAGGGGTGGTGCCACCTTCAAACTGCCCTAACACCAGCACCCCAGGGTCTGTGAGCACTGAGATGCACCAACTGCTAAGGCCACAGCCCATTCCCAGGAGCACTCTAGGCTCCACCGAGACATGTCACCCACTGAGCCTCTGATGCGTGACAATCCTTATCCACCTGCTTGCATAGCTCGCCCACGAGGGACTTGGCCGAGGTTAGCTGCCCCTCTCACCCCTAGACTGTGAGGAGCAGCCCTGGGCATGTGGCACGCAGCCTCCTCCTTGCGTGGCTTACAAACAGAACATCCCCTTTCTTCTTTTGTGGGGCCTCAGCATGGCTGATATACAACCTCCAGCCTCACCCCAAGAAGGCCCCTCCATGCCTTGTGTGTGCTTCTAGGCTAACCGGGGAGGAAGCCCCAAGCCCAGTGGCTTGGAGACTATGAAGGTGGCACTTCTGCATTACAGGCATCCTGGGGACGCCTACGGAGAAAGGTCTCACAGGCTGCACCCCCTTCTTCAGACAGTGCCACAGCGCCCCAGGTGGGGGCCAGATCTGGTGCTTCTAGGCACCAAGGTCCCTCGGCTTGACTGCCTCTGAGCAGATCAGAGACCCTGGAGGGACTAGGGCACACTGCAACTCAAGGATCCCCATGGCCTCTGGGGGCTCACTACTTTGCACTGTGGGTGCAGGGCAAGAGGCTGCAGCCAGCCCAGAGGGATCCTGGGGAGGAGGCTTGGCGATTTCATGCTGAGCACACCGCAGCTCAGGAAAGCAGCTCGCAGCGTGCAACTCAACCCCTGCAGGAGTGAAGCGCTGTGTCCAGGCTGAGCTGCCAGGTGTCAGCGCAGCCTGAGAGTCTAAGTTCCCCTGAGCCAATGGCTTATCGAGCTGAGGCAGTTACGGCGCATCCGTTTCCTAGCCAGCAGTAGACAAGGGAGTGATGTGGCCAGCATCACGTCCGACCGCCTTTGATTGCCCTAACCTGGGTGAACTGGAGGTGGCCTTTCTGTGAGACACTGAGTGAGACTCAAACCCACGACCTTCAGGATCGCAGTCAAGAACCTTAACCATGCAGACACCCCACCTCATGAGAGCCCAGGGCTAAAACTGCCACCTCCTAACCCTCCCTGCCAGGATTCCAGATCCAACTGGGCCATATCCACCCCCGCTGAGAAGCTCTGTCATCACCCCTGGGGCGCCCCTTCTGCTGCTGGCTCCAGGCAGAGTGCAGCCCAGCTGGCTCTCCTGGAGCAGGAGGGGCGCTGCAAGGACATTTGCTCTGGTCAGTGACTGGGATGATCAGCGAACATGACAAGGAGGGGCCATTTTACAGCCCTATTTCTGAGCATAAGCCAGGCCCCTCCTCAGACTGCCGGAGAACAAGCATGAGACCAGATTCCCACGAGACTGTTTGAAGAGGGGGTTCCAGGCCTTCCCCACAGCAAACGTTAGCCCCATTCAGCCTATCCAGCGCAGCTGGGTGGTCTCAGCTCTTACCAATGGACTGTGGCTGCTAGGCTCTGAAGCAGCTCTGTATGACAGACGGGGCGAATGGAGAAACAGAATCTCTGCTGGCTGCATGCATGCCCAGTGGGCATGGCAACTGTTCTCACGGACAGATTCGTCTGTGTGGGAGGTCAGGTTAACTGATGCCCAAGCCATGCTGTACTTTCAGGTGACACTCTACAAGAGGGTACCACAAAGAGGGAGTTGAGATGGGACTCTCCAACCATGGCCAATTTCCACCCTTTGCTAAGCCAGTATTAGACACCCTACCTAATCCATTAGCCAAGCTGCCCTAAGACACTGGGAGGAGCCAGAGGCGGCTCCAGATGGTTTGCTGCAGTTCCATCCCTAGTACATGGGAAGCCACTGTCTGCACTAGCCACTTGACTGCCTGCAGTGCAGCTGTAGCCTTCTCCTGCCTCTTCTGAGTGCATTGTCCCCCAACCCGCTTCACAGCTGATCCCAGGAGACCAGCGTCCAGTGATACTGCCCGCGATTCCCATCGCACCCTGGAGCAGAGCAGGGATGGAAACATCCCCCATCCATATATCCAGGCCTGGATGAGCTGCTGCCATTTCACACACTGGGAGGGAAAGGCACGTTCAAGAGGGAACAGAAATGAGCAGGTACCAACCTGAGCTCCCCCTGTAATGGGGATGGTGCATGTCAAGAGGTTTCCAATGACGTTCTCCAGCGATGCACTCAGCCCGTCCACGTAGATGGTGTAAATCAAACCCAGGCTGTTCTGGAGGAGCAAACAGAGCAGAGAGGTGTGTCCACAGCAAGAAGCAGACAAGCCACTTGAGCACAGCATGGGAGGCCGCTCATTTGAAACACAGGTACTGGCTGGGGCTCACACGGAGCTAACCATTGCACGCCCAGCACTTGCTCATGCGGACAGCGTGTCCAGGCCCGGCCAGGGCTTGGAGCCTGTCTGCTGCAAACGCTTCAGAGTGACATTCGCAATCCTTGTCGCCAACAAGGGATTGTGTATTTATTGCACACAGTTCTTTACAAATCAGTGAGACAGTCCCTGTCCAAGGGGTGCAATCTCAGGCACAGACAGCAGGACAGGCCGCACGCAGCTTGATGCTACTGGTTTCCCAGTGGCACCACGCTGACCTCCAGCACCACCAACAGTGCACTTCAATCTGCAGCTTTGCTTCAGTCAGCATTGGGGGAGAAGAAAATCCAGGAGTCATCCAGGCGGAGGACAGCCCTAGTGCCAGAGTTCCAGAGTCCCTGCACCTAGCCCGGCAACGCTGCAGGTTTGCATCAAAAGTCTCATCAAAAGACAGCACTGTCTAGTGGTCAGAGCTGAGGGCGGTTCTAACTTTCAGGAGATGCATCTGGGACCCAACGCACATCTATCTTCAGCTAAGACTCTTGGTTTAGTTAGTGCATGAGCAGCCTGACCCACTCAGGACAGGAGCGAATGTCCCAGCCCAGCATTAGGCTAACTCACTGGGATGGACAGATCTAGACTACATGCTGTGATAAGACCTCGCAACTACTATCTAACCAAAGTGGAGAGCGAGCAAGGGCAGCGTGAGGGAGAACTGGCTTGTGCTGTGAAAGCAATAGGCTCCACGGGACACTTACACCATCCTAGGTGCATTTCCTTGGTCATCAGACCCTAACCAAAGGGGGAAACTGATGTAAGCCCAAGCCCCAACAGGGGAAGAGTCAGGCGCTCTTGCTGTTTATCTGCTCCCAGGAATTAATAAGCCAGAGAGCTCAAGTGACTGAGCAATATCATCACATAGCCAAATGAACCGTGCAAACACTGCTCATGTTCCCAACAAAAACAACCCAGGTGTATGGAGGGAAGCCCTGGCCAGACTGCAGGGCAGTCAGGTGTGCTGAGGCTGAGAAGTGCTGCAAGCTGCCTCAGTGCAGCCTCCAGTGAGGCCCCCAGAATTCGCTCCACATGCCGCACAGGCAATGGCACTGTTTGACCTTAGTTGCTCTTCAATTCCATTTGGTTATTTACCACCCGAAGATGGGCACCACAGGACCCTTCCCCCGCCACCTGGGGCTGGGAGCTTCCTTTCCACAGCCCTTCCCATCCCTGCTGGGTCAGGGGGCGACCCTCAAATTCCAATCTCCAGCCCAAGCTGCCTCCTGACCCCCCGGCCTATCACAGCTACAGTAAGGTCAAGTCTGTTCCACACTTCTACCAGCAGGTCTTGTGCACTGCAAGAGAATGACATTTCATGTCCCTTGCATTTTTTCAGGGCCCTTCAATAGAGATTCACCTTGCCAAAATCTGAATGATCCCAGGAAACACTATACAAGTCCCAATTAAAAACCACAGTAGGTCTTACTGCTATCGGGAGGGACAGACCCACTGACCTGGGGAATGACAGCAGCCAATCCAAGCACACAGCTCAAACTGCAGCCACCATGCTAAGGCATCATGCCAGGATGACCGAAGTGTGGCAGGTCTCTGGTTTGAGGAGACCGCATGTCCCAGTATGCAATGCTCTATTTCAGTCTAAGCACCTGGCTACACCAGGTACCAGGGCTGGCAGTCTCCATAGACGCACCTTCCCACTGAAGATGAGAACAGTCACTAGTCTCTCGGCCATTTACCAATGTGTCTCGAGTGGGCATACTGACAGACTGCATGTGAGCACCGCTTCACAGCCAGCACGCCCACGGTCCCCCTCTCACAGTACAAGGGCAAGGCTCTTTGCATTTGGACCAAGAGCTGAAGAAGAGAATGGCAAGAGGGGTCAGACAGTCCATCCAGCCACAAGGATCACATGCCTGCCTTGGCAAGCGAGGTGCTGCTGACACTTAGATCATACCCACCCAAGCTGAGTTTTGCAAACAAGCCAGGCTGTAACTTGCACCTTTCCAAGCCTTTTACAGCCTCCTAACAGAGCAAGCATGAAGAATATAAAGATGGGAAATAAAGACTCCACCAGGAACATTTTGTGCTTAGCATTTTACTGAGAGGCAGGTCCTCACCTTGCAGCTCCACAGCCTGACAGCTTGGGGAAGGATCAGAATAAGCCACACACATGGCCCTGAGTAACTGCTGGACATGAGCAGAAGGTCAGAGCAGGCACCACGGCAGTAAATCTCGCAGGGCGCTGCTGCTAGGTGCTCTCTCTTATATGCCCCAATTCTCAGAAGCAGAAGGGTTGGCTGACAGTGGTTCCGAGGGCCAAGGAATTAATGCAAGGGAAAGTCCCCAGAGAATCCAGACACCACCCTCGCCTCCCCAAATGCAGCACTGCACCTGTCCCTTACCCGGAAAACCTCAGTATGGTCCAGTCGTGACACTAGCACCAAACTCTTAGGGGCAAAGAGCTGCGCAGGCTGGACGAGGGATGATGACTCCTCTTCCTCCTCCTCACCATTCCTTGAGTGGCTCTGAGACTGGGGAGAGAGACAGATCAGACACACTGCAGGGACGTGAGAGGGGACAGACACCCCCCGCCCCACCACCACCTCAGACAGCTACACCACCATGTGAGGCAAGTACTACAGGAGATTGTCAGAGGAGGGCCGCAAAGGAGTGCTGGGTACAACCAACCTGGGCAATGGGCAACCACAATTCTCATAAGGAGCTTTCGCTCACAGCTGCTTACCCAGCAACACCCCCCGCCCCCAACACTTTCACAGGCAGCGTGCCTCCCCCTCAACCCCCGCAGGGAGCATTACCTGGGCACTCTCAACAGCCTCCCAGAAAGTGAAGCAGGCGCAGTAATGCCGCTCGGAGCTGATGTCTGTCAGCACAGCAACGAAGAAGGAGGGGGGATTCCGCTCGGTGAAGAGCTGCCAACCGCTCGGCTGACAAAACTGCAAGAGGCGAAGGTGAGAACACACTGGTCAGCTGGAGGCGACTTGTACAGCCTGCTCGGGGGCAGGTGGATGCAGGCTGACACATTTGCTCTTCCCTCAGCCCCCACATCACTTATACAGCATGTCGAGAGCTCCTGGAGGGGCTGTACATGAAGGGACAAAGCTCCTCAGGGCAGGCAGCTTGGCTTCTTACCTATCTAACATGCCAAGTACTTGGTGGGATTCAGACAGACAAGCGTGGCTCAGTTAGCGTTGCCAGCGGAGAGCAGTGGCCAGCATTCATGACAGAGCCCCTTTCTATATCCACACAGAGCACCGAGCAGCATAACCATCTTCCAAAAAACATGAAGAAACCCACCCTAGAGAAGCCCTCAGGGCAGCTGTTAGAAGGCAGGCAACGGAAGAGGACGCCCAGGATAACAGGCTGAGCAAAAGCACCTGTTCCCATTCAGGCCAAGGGGCCTCCCCTACTGTCTCAGAAGAGCTGCACGATCTCGCTTGGCCAGACTGGCAGAAGAGAGCTGTGCTGAGAGTCTGACATCTAGGAGGCGGGGCTGCCTTTCACAGGCACACTGGTTTGCCCTGAGCTGAACCTGGCTGTGGAGTCTAAACTAAAGCAGACTCTCTCCCTCCTCTAGGAGAGTCAGTTGGATCCATTTAATCAGTGTCCTGGGCAGCTGCATGCGGACGAGGCCCAGGCAGCTGACGTTGCTGCACTGCAAGTTCCTGGGGGTGGGGCCTGTTACCTATTTGGCACTGTACCGTACAGGCTGCACAACACACTGATAAATGAATAGTGGATCCAATAGAGGGCACTCCTCCCTCTGAATCAGCATCCCAGCCTGGTGCCGCTTGAAATGCCGCATTTCAGATGAGGTTGTGAGCTCAGAGATCCCAGGGGACTTGCCACAAGAGTTACCCCTGGGGTCCCAGCCCAACTCCAAGGGGGGGAATTCCAGCCTTCTGGCTGAGAATTCCCCATGCGGTTTTCATTGATATAGGGCTTTTCTCACTTCCTCCCCTAAACAACGGTGTAGTGTTGCTGTGCGCTGTCCAGTTACCACAGCTTGTGGGGACTTTTTAAAAACTACGTTCCTCTGAATGTGGAACAGAGCAGCTTAGCACCACACACTCCTTCCAGCCACCATCACCCCTTCTGCCAGAGACCAGGGAAAGTAATAGGCTGATGCTGAGAGATGGCAAGCTCCCGGTAAAACGATGTGGATTCCTGTTCCAGGCCAAAGCCGGCTGATCTGATCAACAGGGAGGTTCAATCAGGAGGCTACGGGATCACCAGGGCTAGAGAAATTTGGTCAGGCCTGAAGCTACTCCCTAGTCTATACCCTCTCCAAAGCTACCAGCCCTGTTTATCCACCTCTTCCCCCCAGGGATTTTTAAGGCACCCATCACAGTGGTACATAGGTGACGACTGCAATGGGCATCAAACACATTTCCAGGTGTCCAGATATTACAGTGATGAGGGCACGAGGGACAGAAACCCTGCAGAGTTCTTTGCTGGGGCTGAGGCTGGAATCCTTTGCTTCTTCAGGCCCCTCGCTCCTGCATTCCAGAGTGTGTCATTTCCTCCATCACACCCTTCCTGCCACTGCCCCAGGTCATGCTGCCTCTGACCTAGCTGCCCTACCAATTGGCAGCAGTGAGATATGCCCCAATGGAGTTATCAGACTAGTCATCAGTTTCCTCTCCTTATGGAGCTTGGCTCCGAACCCTCCATAGAGGTTTGTGGTGGGACTTGCCTCGCTGAACCGCCTAGCCCAGGAATTGTCCCACGTGGCTCTTGGATCCTGCTCGGTGGCAGCAAAACAGAGCAAATCCAACAAAGGAGACCGCAGCATGCTTTATACTCTGCCCCAGGTGTCCCATGGACCACCACCAAGACTCTGTGCAGCAGGAGGGAGAACTTGCAT